AAATTAGCCAAAACCAAGACCCCCCCCCCCCCTTTTGAATTTATGTTTTTAAAATTCCAAAATTTCAAATGTAAAAGGCATTTTTAATTTTTCCCCTTTTACACGGTTTAAAAAAACCCTTTCCTGTCCCTTAAATTTTAATATTTTCCCTTTGTAGGTTTTTGGGAAATAGAAGGATTTTTTAAATTTTAGGTTTAAAAAGGGGTTCCCTTTATCCAAGGGGAATATTAAAATTTTACCCAAAAATTGAAGAATTTTTTTCCAAAACTTTTACTAGACCCTCAATTTGATAAAATTAAAATTAAAGGGGGCAAGTCACTTTTTCCTAAAATACCCCTTTTCCCCTTGTTGTTCAAATTTTTTGTTTATAAACTTTAGTGAAATTGCAAACAAAACCAAATTTGGTTAATAACTGGCTTTTTTAAAACCCTTTTTGGCCTCCGGGTAAATTTTGTTTTAAAAAATAATACCCTAAAAAACCCAACATTTTAAATTTTTTTTAGAAATTTTCCCCAATTCCCTCCTAAAAATTGGAATTCGGAAGCAAACTATTCCAGAAGATGGGGTTCACCCCTTTAAACCCAAAAGGGTTTCCCAAAAGAAAAAAGGCCCCAGTTTCTGAAGGAAAAGAAAGTTCCCTTTAAAAGAACCCTGGTTAAGCCGGGGGCAAAAAAAACCTTGGGGGGCCGGGACACCCCAGGGGGAAACCCCCTTCCCAAAAGAGGGGTTGGTTTATGATTGGGCCCTTTTGTAAGGGTTATTAAGGGTCCTTTAAAATTAAAATTCCAGAGTTCCCCCCCCTGCCACTTTTAGGGGTAATTTTCCCCGACAAGGGGATAAGACTTTTCCCATTCCGGGTTTTTAAAAAATTTAAGTTTGATAAATTTTGGTTTTAAATCCAAATTTCCAACAAATTAAAGGACGAAACATGTCAAGGTGAGGAATATTCCCCCAAAATTCCAACACCATTTTTTTGAACGGGAAAAATAAATCCGGCCCTTTGGGAAATTTCCTTGAAAAAGGGGGAATTCCCCAATGGGGGCGGGACCCCCAATCTTCTTTCCCAAACCTGCGACTATTACCCACCGCCTTCAAAAACCCACTTTCTGTTGCCCTACTCTGGTTAAAATGATTCCTTAATTTTCCTGAAAATCCCCTACTATTTAAAATTTTTCCTTTGGTTTTGAGGGAATAACCCTTCAACCCCAACCCCGAAAATCTCAAAAAAAAACCCCCAATTTCCCTACCTTTCCATCTTTCTTTTTAATTTGGGAAAAAATTTTCAAAAAAAATTGGGTTTTAAAGGGAAAAAAATTCCCCTAAATAAACCTTTTTGGGGGTTAAGGGGTTTCCCCCCAAAAAATTTTCCCCTTTTTTGGAAAAAATTTTAAACCCAAAAAAAAAATTTTTCTTTAAGAAAACTTGGTTTTATCAAAATGGTGCCCCTTTGGGTTGAAGGGTTATTTTTTTACTTTTTAATGTTTAGGGCCCAATTTTGGTTTGTAAACCCAAACACGAAAAAATAAAGATAATTGAGATAAAAATTTGGGAAAACCTTTTAAAATTTCACCGGAAATCAAAAAATAAATAATCAGAAACAAATTTTAAAACTAAATTTTTAAAAAAATTTCCAAGGGGGCCCCCCGTAAATTTTATCCCCCCACACTTTACAAAACCAATTCCCTTTTTTGTTAGAATCCCAGCATGGTGGGCAAAAAAACTGGGGGGGTTTGGGAGGGGAAAACAAAAAAATTTAATGGCATGTTTAAATTTATGTATGGGAAAAATTTTATTGGAAAAAAGGGAAATAAAAAATCTTGAACCCCTTTTTTGGGAAAATTTGTCTTATCTAACGCCCCAGGAACCTTCTAAAATTGGAAAGAAATTCAAAAATAAAAATTTAAATTTGGGGAAGACATTTAAACTAGACAATTAAAACTAAACTTTTTAAGGGTTTTTTAAAGGGTTTCCCCCCAAGAATTTGCCCTTTGGCAAACCTTTTTTTTATAAACCAACCTGGCTTAGGTTCCCGACAATGGGGGTTTTTTTGCCCCACCCCTTTGGGTTGAACTTTTTAACCAAAAAGTTTACCCCCAAATTAGTTGGAAATTTTATTAAATAAAATTCCAAAAGCAATTTAAGCCAAAGATGGAAAGGCAATTTAAATTTTTAAAAATTTCTCAAAACGGTTTAAAAAGGGGGGTTCCCTTTTTAACGAAATTTACAAAAACCCCTTTCTTCCTAAAATTTTGGGGAAGGAAAACTTCAGGGGTAAGTGAATTTTTGTTTTATGTTAAAACTTAATTAAGGCCCTTTCTTTTTTCCAAACCCCAAGAGGGCTTTTAGAAATTTAAAGGCCCGGGGGAAAGGGAAATTTTTTTCCCGGGGTTAGACGGGTTTAAAATTTTTGCCTGAATTTTGATTGAAAAAAAAAAATGGGGGAAAACTCACAAAAGGGGCCGTGTTCCCAGGGGTCTTTCCCTTGTGGTTTAAATTTTTGTACTAAACGTCCCTAAAGGGGGGGTTTTAAATGGGGCGACATAACCCAAAAATTTGCCAATACCCCAAAAGGGCCTCCATTTTTTGGGAAGGCCCATTAGGGAAAAACCCCCCAAGGGGAATTTGTGCTGATGAGTTCAAAAGGCCCCGGGTTTCTTTCTTTTTCAAAACCCCAAATGCCCCCCCAAATTGGTTAAAAGGGAAAATAACCTCCACCTTAAATTTTTAAAATTTTCTTAATTATTCCGGTTTTGAGAAAAAGTTTTTAGGAGTTCGGTTACAAAAATTTGGAAACCAAAAAACCCTTGCTTATTCGTTTTTAAATTAACGATCCTTTGGTTAAAGGGGGCAAGAATTTTAATAAAAAATAAAAGCCCAAAATGTTGGCCAAAAAAACCCTCCAAATATTTTTGGGTTGTCTTTTTAAAGGTTTAAAAAATTGGATTTTTGGGTTTACCGAAATTAACCAAAAAAAAATGCATTGGGAAAAACTAAAATTTTTGGATACAAAATTTTTAAAAAAAACCCCCAAATTGTTCAAAACTTTTTTTAAAATTTTTGGGGGCCCCTTTTTGTTATACCTTTTTTCAAGAAAGCGTGGAATAAATGCCTAAAAATTTTAAAAGGGGGAAAACAAATTAATGAATAGAAATCTTTTTAAAAATTTTATCTACATTAAAAAGGGGAAATTGGGGAATGGTTTTAAGGGGAAAAAACGGGATTAAAAAGGGTTTAAAATAGGGAAAAAATTTTGGTAAAAGGTTGGGAAGGGAATTGGAAAAAACCCCTTCGGGGTTTTTTGGGCTGGGGTTGGAAATGGGTTTGTGGTTAAAACCTTTTTTTGGGTTTCTTTTTCTTTTTGTCTCGTGTTTCTGTTCCTTCTTTTTTTCCCCACTTCCCCTTTTCACGCCCCTCTTTTCCCGTTTTCCCTCCCCCCTTGGGGAACCTAGCTCCCTTGCATGCCCCTTTTCCTTTGTTTTTGACTGGCCGTCCCCCTTTTTTCCCCACTTCTACCCCAAACCATTTACTAAAAAACCCCCCTTCTACTACAACAATCTACTACAAATTTTTGATAAAATTTAAGACACATGTGGGCGTTGGGTTTTTTTTTGGGGGACGTTTCCCCTTCCATTTGGTGGCTGGATGGCGAAACGTCAAAGTAAAGATGCCCGGGTGTTGCACGGGCCCAAAATTTTTCATCTTGTCGGAATTAAAATACCACCCTTGACAAACTATTTCAACACCACCACCTCTTCCTGCCTATATATAGCCGCCCTGTTGGGGAAAAAAGATTTGGGAGTTTGGTTGCATAATTTTAAAACCCAAGAAACAGGCTAATGTTCGCAAAAAAGCTAAAAAAAATCCTTGGTTTTCATATCAAAAAAACAAAAATAAAGGAGTCCTCAGGTTGTTCTTAAAAACTGTACATTTTGGGTTAGGCCTCTTTTTAAGATTATGCTGCCAGTTTTGGTCCCCGTATTACAGAATGGATTTAAATGCTCGGGAAAATGTCCCAAGGGGGAATGACAAAGTTGATCCCATGTTTCAGAAACCTTCCCTATGGGGAAAAAAAAAAAAAGGGGCCCCAAAATCTGCACTTTTCTTAAAAAGGGGTTAAAATTTGGGGGGAAGGGATTGGGGGGTGTATAAATGGAAACGGAATAAAAAAAGGGGGGGATGAAAATTTGTGTGCTAAAAAATTTTCACCCTAAAACGGGAAACTCGCAGAAATTGGTTTTAATTTGGGAAAAATTCAGATTCAGGAAGGATATGGGAAAAAGTATGGTTTTTTGGAAATTGGTTGGGGATGAGGGGAAAAAAAACTCCCAAGATGGATAGAGGCCAAAAACGTTGTGTAGTTTTTTAAAAATTAGGTTGGAAAATTTCCGGGAGTAATGTGGGTGGGTGGGGATTTGGACCGGATAGCTTGTGCAAAAATTCGGGTTTGCCGTGTTCCTCCCTTAAGTCAATTTTGACCTGATTTGGACTGGGTTGGGGTTGCATTGGCTTAAGCGGTAGGGGGGCTTGGACCCCCTCGCAGGGGCCCCGTGGGTCTGCGCAGTTTTCCCTTTTTTTTCTTATTTTCTTTTGGTTAGTGGTTTTTGGGAAATGGCCCAAAAGTCGGACCAAAAAACCGGCCCGTCGTAAGTTTTCCCCTTTTTATGTGCGGGGTTATTTGTGTATCGTTCCAGTCACGGTATTCCCCCTTTTTTTTGTTATTTAACCGTTATAAAAACTAAGAGGGTTTGTATTTTTTAAATTTTAGGTTAAAAAAATTACATGATGGGTGTGGGTGGGAGAGATGGGGACCTGACTAATTTGTGCAGGGGGGGTCGGGCCGTCTCCCCCCTTTAAAGTGAATATGACTGACCTGACTAGGTCAAGGCATTGGTTAAAAGGCCGGTGGGAAAAATTGGGGCCCTGCCTGCTTTGGGCCAGTGGGGGCCTGCTGCAGTGTTCCTTTTTTTCCTTTAATCTTGTTTTTCTTAATTAACTTGCAGATGGGGCCGTAAAAAAGATCAAGTACTCTAGCCCCCAAGGAGTACGAGCGGGTTTGGCCCAGTGAGCTTCCTATAAAACGAGGAACTTGGGGCGGGATTCTCGCCCCCCATCCCCCTTCACACAACAACACGTTATTCACTTTCCCCCTAAAAGCCTTCCTCTCACAGCCCTCATCATGCCAGGGTAAGTTTCATATTATTTTGCTGTATTTCTTACTTTAATACCCTCAAAGCAAAATTTTAAAAAAAGTCACTTTTAAAAATCGTTTTTTAAATTATAAAAAAGGATAAAAACCAGATTTTAAAAATTTTATATTATTAGAAATTCCCCACTGTTTAAAAACTGTTTTAAAGCCCCTCACACCTTTATAATTTCCCCTTTTTCACCATCCCCAATCAATAGAATACTTCTCTACTTCTATTGGGAAGCAGTACATTAAATAAAACAGAATTACAGGGGAGTAAAATTAGAAAAATGTTTTTTAAGGAAAGAATAGGGAAATAAACGCCCCCGATGGAGAGGTCGTGGCAGAAAACAAAAAATTTGGTGGGGGAAAAAAATGTCTCTTAAAACGCATTGAAAAATCACTGGTCTGAGCAGAAAGCGCACCCAAAAGAAAAAGGGCCCAAATTTTTAAAACCCTTACATCAGCGCCCAAGCCCCATCTGTGGGCTTGGAAGAGCTATTTTTTTTATTTAAAGGGTAGGTTACCAGAAACAAATCCCCCTTTTTGGGGAAAAAAAATTGAAATTCCTGATTATCTTGTAAACATAAATGCTTAAATTTTCTCCCCTCTCCCTATCTCTCTCTCTCTCTCTTTTCTTTCTGGGGTTATTACATTTTGTCATGGGAAATTGACATTAACATTTGAGATGTACTCACCAAATTTTGGGTTTTTGTGTGTACTCAAACTATTTGGGGTTTTGCGGGGTCGAGTCTTAGCTCCTGGCCCCCCCTCTTCCCCGGTTTTGGCTACGGGGCCCCTCTCTCTCCCGCCCCCATGAGCTTTATAAAAACCCAGTTTAAAACGGGGTAGGGGTTCCTGCCTCCATTACGTCCATTTTCTAGGCTTTTCCCAAATCCCCTGACAACTCATAAACTGAAGAAATTTTCCTAATACTTCTGACTCATTTTTGTCTTCAATTTCCCAATTGGGGCCCTTTTGTTTCTGTGTCCCCTCCCCCTAAAAACTCTTTTTTGTCCACCTTGTTTTTCCCAACGCGGGTATTTTATATGTCTTTTCATGTCTCCCCTGACCCTCCGGTCCTCCAGTGCCCTTTAAGGCCCCTTTTTTCCCCCTTAATCTTTTTTTAAAGGGGACTTTTCCCCTTTAGCCCTGGAACAAACCCTTTGGGTCGCAAACTTTTGTACTTTCTCTATTTTCCCTTGACGTGCTTTATTAAAGGGGGGTTTCCCAAAAACAGGGGGTTGCATCCCCCAGTATGGGGTTTGACTTTCAGGGTTTTACAGGTTTTGAACGATTCCTTACAAAGGGTTAATGGGAAATTTTGCTGTTTCGGGTTTTTCCCAGGCCCCCATATGCTCCTGAAATTTATCTGATTGATGTGTGTTTCCCCGGAGCATGTGGGTTTTAATACTCCCCCAAGATCTTTCTCCTTGAGTAAAGGTTTGCAGTTTTTTGGCCACCTAGCCTATACCTGTTTTTTTCTTCGTCCCCCCCCCAATTTTCATAAACTTTGCATTTGGCGGGTTTAAAATTTCCCGAAAAAAAGCCATTTGGGGGACCAGGTTTCCATTTTGTCCGGGTCTCTTTGAATCCTGGCTGGTCCTCATCTGATTTAATTCCCCCTCTTTTTAACTTAAATCATCTGCAAAAGGGACACTTCTGAGTCAAACCCTTCCTCTTTGTCTTCAAAATATACCAAAAAATAGCACGGGGTCCTAGGACCAAACCCCCCTGGGGGAAACCCCGTTTCGTCAGAGGTCCCACTGGGGGATTTTTTTTCATTACGTACCTTTACTCGTTTGCCCCCTTTGGTATTCTCTGTTTCCTTTTGGCAGTCCCCTTTCCCTGTTAAAATGGGCCTGTTGTTTCTACTTTTTGCACAAAACCCCTTTGTGAGGAACTGTGTAAAAAGGCCCTTCTTGCAGCCCAAAAGAAAAATGCAATAAAACCCCCCCCCTCCTCTCGTGCTTATTTTCTTTATTTTTTTCAAAAAAACTCCAGTTTTGTGACAAAAGGTTTTTGCCTTTCCCCTGAACCCTGTTTGGGGGCCCTTTTTATACTCTTGTTCCGTTCCGGGTGCTCCACCACTCTCCTTGAAAATCTTCTCCATAACTTTGCATACTTAAACACGCCAATGACACGGGCCCTATAGTTTAGTGCCTTTTTTTTCTGTCTCCTTTTGTTAAAAAGGGAATACATTTGCCCTTTTTTCCCCCGGGTTTTCCCAGTTTCCGGGGTTTGAAGATTGTGGAAAAGGGGCACCCAAAAAATTTCCCCCCAAGGCCCCGGGGAATTTTCCCCCCCCTTCCTTTTTTTTTCCCCCTTTTTTTCCCCCCCCCCCCAAAATTTTTGGGGGTTTCCCCCCTGGTGTATCCCCGGGCCCCCCCCCCTTTTCCCAAAAAAAAATTTTGGGGGGCCCCCCCAAACCCCCTTTTTTTTTTGGGTTTTTCCCCCTTTTTTCCCCCCTTTTTTTTTTTTTTTCCTTTCCCAAGGGGGCTATAAAATTTGGGGCAGATTTGGTTTTTTTTTGGGGCCCTTTCATAATGTCGCTGGGGCCCCCCCCTTTTTTTTCTTTCCCCCCCCTTTTTTTTTTTTTTCCCCCTTTTTTTTGGGGCCCCCCCCCCCTTTTTTTCCTTTTTTTAGTTTTTCCCCCAAAAAATTTAAAAAATTTTTTTTTTTATTTTTTTTTCCCCCGGGAAAAAATTTTTCCCCCCCCCCCTTTTTTTCCAAAATTTTTTTTTTTTTTTTTCCTTCCATTTCTCTGTCCCAATAACCCCTGCAGGAAATTTTTTTCCCCCCCCTTTTTTTTGGCCCTTCCCCCTTTTTTTCCCCCTTTTTTTAAAAAATTAAAAAAAAAAAAATTAACCCCCCTTGGGGCCCCGGGGTTTTAAAATTTTCCCCGGGGGCCCTTAAAAAATTTTTTTTCCCCCCCCCCCGGGGGGCCCCCCCCTTTTTTTTTTCCCGTTTCCCCCCTTTTTGGCCCCTTTTTCCCCCTTTTTTCCCCCTTTTGGGGCCCCCCGGGGAAATTTTTTTTAAATTTCCCCCTTTTGGGGGGGCCCCTTTTTTTTTGTTTTTTTTTTGTTTTTTTTGGGGTTTGTTGTTTTTGGGGTGTGGGGGGGGTTTTTTTTTTTTTGGGGGGGGGGGTGTTTTTTTGTTGGGTTTTTTTTTCCGTGTGTTGTTGGGTTTTTGTGTGGTGGGTGTGTTGTTGGGGTTTTTTAAAGGGGGGGGTTTTTTTTGGGGGGGTTTTTAAAATTTTTCCCCCCTTTTTTTGGGGGGGGGAAAACCCCCCCCCCCTTTTTTTTCCCCCCGGGGGCCCCCCTTTTTTTTCCCCCCCCAAAATTTTTCCCCCCCCCCCAAAATTTTTCCCCTTTTTTTTTTTTGGGGGGGGGGCCCCCCCCCCCGTTTTTTCCCCCCCCTTTTTTTTCCCCCCCCCCTTTTAGGCCCCCCCCAAATTTTTTTAAAAAAATTTTAAAAAAAACCCTTTTAAAAAAATTTTTTTTTTTTAAAAAAAACCCCCCTTTTTTTCCCCTTTTTTTCCCCCCAACTTTTTTTCCCTTTTTTTTTCCCAAAAACCCCCCTTTTCCCCTTTAATTTTTTTTTTTTTCCCCCCCCCCCCCTTTTTGGGAAATTTTTTTCCCCTTTTTTTTTTAAATTTTTTTTTTTGGGGTTTTTTTAAAAAATTTTTTTTTTTTTTCCCTTTTGGGGGGGGCCCCCCTTTTTTGGGGGTTTTTGGGGCCTTCCCTTTTTTTTTGGGGGTTTTTTTTTTGGGGGCCCCCCCCTTTTTTTTTGGGGGGAAACCGGGGCCCCCCCCCCCCCCTTTTGGGGTTTTTTTTCCTTTTTTTTTTTTCCCCCCAAAACCCCCCCCTTTTTTTTTTTCCCCTTTTGGGCCCAAAAATTAAATCCCTTTTTTCCCCCCCCGGGGTTTTTTAAATTTCCCTTCCCAAAAAAAGGGGGGTTGGGCCTTTTTCCCCCGGGGGGGCCCCCTTAAAAAAAAATTCCCCCCCCCCTTTCCCCCCCCCCCCCCCCCCCCCCCCCCCCCCCCAAAACCCCCCTTTTTTAAAAAATATTCCCTTTTTTCCCCCCCCCTTTTCCCCGCTTGGCCCCCCCCTTTTTTTTGGGGGGGGAATTTGGGGGCCCCCCGGGGGAAAAAAATTTAAAACCCCTTTTTTTTTTCCCCCCCCCCCCCCCCCCCCCCCCCCCCCCCCCCCCCCCCCCCCCCCCCCCCCCCCCCCCAAAAAATTTTCCCCCCGGGGGAAAAAAAAATTCCCCCCTGGGCGGGTTTTAAAAAATTTTTTTTCTTTTTTTTTTTCCCCCCCCCCTTTTTTTTTTTGTTTTTCCCCAAAATTTGGCCTTTTCCCCCCCTTTTTTTTTTTTTTTTTCCTAATTTTTAAAATTTTCCCCCTTTTTGGTTTTGGGCCCCCCCTTTTTTTTGGGTTTTTTTTTTTTGGGGTTTTTAAAAATTTTTTTTTTCCCCCCCGGGGGGGTTTTTTGGGCCCCCCTTTTAACCCCCCCCCGGGGGTTTTTTTTTTGGTTTTTTGGGGGGGTTTTTTCCCCTTTTTTGGGGCCCGGGGGCCCCCCGGGTTTTTTTCCCTTTTTTTTTTTTGGGTTTCCCCCCCCCCTTTTTTTTTGGGGGGTTTTTTTTTTTTGGGGTTTTTTGGGGGGGGTTTTTTTTTTTTTTAAAAAAATTTTTTCCCTTTTTGGGTTTTTTCCCCCCCTTTTTTTCAATTTGGTTCCCCCCCCTTTCCAATTTTTTTTCTTTTCTTAAACCCCCCAAAACCCCTTTTTTTTTTTTTTTCCCCCCCCTTTTTTTTAATTTTTTTCCCGGGTTTTTTTTCCTTTTGGTTGGTTTTTTTGGTTAAAAAATTTTTTTTTTTTTTGGGGGGGTTTTTTTTTTTTTTTTTGGGTTTTTTTTTTTTTTTTTTTTTTTTGGGTTTGGGGTTATTTCCCCCCCTAATTTTGGGGGGGAAAACCCCCCCTGGGGGTTTTTTTTTGGGTTTTTTTTTTTGGGGGGGGTTTTTTTTTTAAAAAAAAAAATTTTTTTTTTTTAAAAAAATTTTTTTTTAAAAAAGAAAACCTTTTAAAATTTTTTTTTTTTTTTTTCCCGGGCCCCTTTTTTTTTTTAAAAAAAACCGGGTTTTTAATTTTTTTTAAAAAAAGGGGGGGTTTTTTTTTTAAAAAAAAAGGGAAAACCCCCCCTTTTGGAAAAAAAATTTTTTTAAAAAAAATTTAAATTTTTAAAATTTTTGGGGTTTTTTTTGGGGGGGGTTTTTTTCCCGGGGGGGAAAATTTTAAAAAAAGGGGGGGGCCCTTTTTTAAAATTTTTGGGGGGGTTTTTTTAAAAAAATTTTGGGGGCCCAAATTTTTAAGGGGGGTTTTTTGGGGTTTTTAAAAAAATTCCCGGGTTAAATTTTTTTCTTTCCCTTTTTTTTTTTTTTTAAAAAAATTTTAAAAAAAAAAAACCCCTTTTTTTGGTTTTTTTAAAATTTTAAAAAAGGGGGAAAAAAGGGGGAATTTTGGGCCCCCCAAAATTTTAAAGGGGGTTTAAAAGGGGTTTTTTGGGGGTCCCAAAAACCCTTTTTTCTTTTTCCCCCTTTTTAAAAAACCCCCCAAAAAAAAAAAAAAAAAGGGGGCCCCTTTTTAAAAAAAAAGGGGGGGTTTTTTAAAAAAAAAATTTTTTTTTTTGGGGTTTTTAATTTTTTTTTTCCCCTTTTTTAAAAATTTTAAATTTTTGGGGGGTTAACTTGGGGGGGGGGTTTGGGCCCCCCTTTTTTAAACCCCGGGGGGGGGGGTTTTTCCCCCCCCCCCCCAAAAAAAGGGGGCCCCCTTTTTCCCCCCAAAAAACCCCCAAAAAAAACCCCCCCCCTTCCCCCCCCCAAACCCCCCCCAAAAAAACCCCCCCCAAAAAACCCCCCCCCCAAACCCCCGGCCCCCCCCAAAAAAAACCCCCCAAAAACCCCCCCCCCCCCCCCCCCCCCCCCCACAAAAAACCCCCCCCCCCCCCCAAAACCCCCCCCCCAAAAGGGGGGGGGGGCCCCCAAAAACCCCCCCAAAAAATTTTCCCAAAAAACCCCCCCAAACCCCACCCCCCCCCAAAAAAACCCCCCAAAAAACCCCCCCCCCCCCAACCCAAAAACCCCCCCCCAAAAAAAAAAACCCCCCCCCCCCAAAAAAAAACCCCCCCCCCCCAAAAAAAACCCCCCCAAAAAAAACCCCCCCCCCCCCCATTTTCCCAAAAAGGGGGGGGGGGCCAAACCCCAAAAAGGGGGGGGGGGTTTTTTTTTTTTTTTTTGGGGGGGGGGGGGGGGGGGGGTTTTTTTTTTTTTTTAAAAAAAAAAAAAAAAAAAAAAACCACCAAAAAAACCCCCCCAAAAACCCCCCCCCCTTTTTCCCCTTAAAAAAACCCCCCCCCCCCCCCAAAACCCCCCAAAAAAAAAACCCCCAAACCCCCCAAAACCCCCCCCCAAACCCCAAAAAAAAAAACCCCCCCCCCCCCAAAACCCCCAAAAAAAAACCCCCCCGGGTTTTTTTTTTTTTTTCCCCGTTTTTTTTAAAAAATTTTTTTTAAAATTTTTTTTTTTCCCCCCCCTTTTTTTCCCGGGTTTTTTTTTTTTAAAAACCCCAAAAAAAAAAAAAATTTGGAATTAAAATTTTTTGGGGGAAAAGGTTTTGGGGGTTTTTTTGTTTTTGGTTGGGGTTTTTTTTAAAGGGGGAAAAAAAAAAAAAAAAAATTTTTTTTAAAAAATTTTAATTTTTTTAAAAAAAAAATTTTTTTTAATTTCCCCAAAAATTTGGGTTTTTTTAAAAAAAAAAGTTTAAAAAACCCGGGGGGGAAAAAAAGGAAATTAAAAAAAAGGGGAAAAAAAATTTTTTTCCAAAAAAAAAAAATTTTTTTTAAAAAAACTTTTTTTTTTTTTTTTGGGGGGGCCCTTTTTTTAAAAAAAAAAAAAAACACACACGTACTTCGACACACACAACAGAAATAACGCGCAATTGGGACAAGAGTGTGGAGCTATTGAACCAGCAAAGTGATCCCTTCTCTATCGAGGCTCTATTTAGCCATATTCAGTACTACCAGATCAGCATCTGGAGCCGCGCTCAGGTTGACGACTACAACTACTGCAGGAACCAACTGGGTTCCAGGGAAGGTACACTGTTTACCATTCATTTTGTTCTACCTCAAATTTATCAGTGTTGCACATTTATGCATGCACACGCACACACACGCACACACGCACACACACGCACACACACGCACACACACACACGCACACACACGCACACACACACGCACACACACACGCACACACACACCACGCACACGCACACCACACACACACACACACACAACACACACACACACACACACACACACACACACACACACACACACACACACACACACACACACACACACACACACACACACACAAAGCACACTGAAATTTGTTATAGTATTAGTTGAATATTTTCATGTTTCTTGTATTATCAGATAATCAGCATACATTAAGATGAATATTTAATAACTGGCATAGTTATATAAACACAGCATATCGGAATTAATTATTGATTTACTCAGACAAAACATATTTTAAAACATAATTTACAAATTCAGAAACTTCAGCTGAATACTACACCAACTATGTGGACGCACTTAAGATGTTTGATGTAAGTATTACACTATGATGTGTGGCTAAGTCTCTCTCTTTTTCCATTGTGAGGAAATATTAATGACTTTAATACTTTGTCTGCAATATGTATGATACAGATATCTTAGTATGAATAAGCAATGTTATCATGTAACTTCACTAATCTTTAGCTAATATATTCGACTTTTCCATCAGAAATCCGGTTTGTTCATCTTTTCCAATCTGAAAGTGGAAACAAGGCCGTGTGAGAAGTCAGGTATGGACATCATAAAAGATTGTGTATTTGGTAAGATAAACTTACCTTTAGCATAAAATAATAATAATGTTTGTCTGAGCATAAGAAGATTTCTATTATTGTGATGATTAATGCAAATACAGTGGTTGAGTTCTTACCTTTATAGAAAAATTGACTCCATTAAAATAATGCAGTCACTCCTGCTTGTCAAAATAAATGTTTCTCTCCACTAGTTTTGGTTCTTCCCGTATTAGTTAGTTTGATAATTTTTATAATACACGCCATACCTATCCTGTAAACTATAGTTAACAGATTGCAGAGACACATAATGGATCCAGGGATTGATCCCCAACATTTGTTAACTAAGAAAATTATATTGGTAATGGACTGTTTGCAAATTGACTAAAGAACAATAGTAATGAGTTGTTTACAATGTCGTAAATCGACACATGTATGTAACCTTTCCATTCACAATAGTTTCACTATTTCGTCAATGCATTTGCTTTCTTTTGGTGCAGCCTTGTGAGAGAGAGGACGTTGCCTGACACTGGCTCAAGTGCAACTAGGCTCAAATCGTGAGCACTTATAACATATCCAAATTATTAGGCTCTGTGCACAAAATTGTCAATAGAAATTAAACCACCAGCATTCAGTTTGAGAGAGTTATGACTAGTACTCGATCTCGTTTAAAAAAAAATAATAATGAAATTTTACTGTTTGTAGAGAAGCTTTATAAATAATGATGGATCCTACTGACCATTTGCATTGTCATCTTGCGAATATTACATGAAATTGACCTGTTGTGTACAACAATTTATTGTTTTTCTGTTTAGAAAGAGGAAGTACACCAATGAAAAATAGAACCGCATTAAAATCGAGATAGCAATAAAAAGATTGAAAATTGGCATTAATGCACAAGTTAGATAAAGAAGTATGAAGATGGTAGTAAAACATCTTGTGTGATGAAGTATAAAGTTGTTAGTAATACACATCTTGTATGATGAAGTTGTTAGTAATACACAACTTGGATGTATAAATTTGCCAGTAATACACATATTGTGTGAGGTATAAAGTGGTAGTAATAACGCAACTTGGATGAGGTACAGGCTGACTGTTTAGAAAGTGTGACATTTAAAGATCGTGGAAAAAAATATTTAAACTTACCTGAATAGCAGAAATAATCAACAAATAAGGGATTACAACCCTTATTTGGACTATAACATCACCCATGAATTTATCATAAATGTACTCCATCATAGACTGAACTTAAGTTTTACAGATGTTTTCATATAGAATTGAAGCTAACTCCAGGACAGCTGCCTCAACAGATGTAGAATGGATCTCAGTCAAGTGTCGTATCTGGAAGCGAGTTTTGAGTCCTTGTTTGAGATCATCAGTTATCAACTTTGATTTTGCACATGCTTTTGTCACACGTAGGAGTATGGCTTGTTTATGAGTTGTAGCATCTTTGGGCTCACAACCAATGAACCCGGGTTCGGTCACAGAGTGGAGATATATGGGATAGTCTCCTTACAGCTGTTGCTTAAGTTTAATATCCTTATTATGCACTCCATACACATCCTGTGGGCGGTAGTCAAAAGATTACAGAGGTACATAATGGTTCCAGGGAGTGGACCCCAAAGTTTTGATAGCTGAACAAGTTACAAAGGTAATGAACTCCAGGTAAATCTGGTCACAATCATGACAAAGTTACAAAGGTAATGAATCATCTACACGTCTATACATGGTTACAATCATGAACAAATTACAAAGTAATGAGGAGTTCACACGTCCACACCCGGTCACAACTGTAGTGGGTTATTAGTGCAAATATTAATTGGGACACACACACACACACACACACACACACACACACACACACACGGCAATACGAAAATGACAGCATCGAAAGTCAAGACTGCCCCGAAGCTGTTGTACAGCCACATCAGGAGGAAAACAACAGTCAAGGACCAGGTAATCAGACTGAGGAAGGGTGATGGGGAATTCACAAGAAACGACCGGGAGGTATGTCAGGAGCTCAACACAAGATTTAAAGAAGTATTTACAGTGGAAACCAGTAGGACTCCAGGAAATCAGAGCAGGGGGGTGCAAAAGCAAGTGCTGGATGAGGTACATATAACCAAGGAGGAGGTGAAGAAGCTGCTATGCGAACTTGACACCTCAAAGGCGGTGGGACCAGACAACATCTCTCCATGGGTCCTTAAAGAGGGAGGAGAGATATTGTGTGTACCGTTAACAAAGATCTTCAACACATCATTTGAAACTTGGCAACTCCCCGAGGTATGGAAGATGGCAAATGTAGTCCCAATTTTTAAAAAGGGAGACAGACATGAGGCACTAAACTACAGACCTGTATCACTAACGTGTATAGTATGCAAGGTCATGGAGAAGATCATCAGGAGGAGAGTGGTGGAGCACCTGGAAAGAAACAAGTGTATAATTGACAACCAGCATGGTTTCAGGGGAGGAAAATCCTGTGTCACAAACCTACTAGAGTTTTATGACAAGGTGACAGAAGTAAGACAAGAGAGAGAGGGGTGGATCGACTGCATTTTTTTGGACTGCAAGAAGGCCTTCGACACAGTTCCTCACAAGAGGTTACTGCAAAAGCTAGAGGATCAGGCACACATAACAGGAAAGGCACTGCAATGGATCAGAGAATACCTGACAGGGAGGCAACAACGAGTCATGGTACGTGACGAGGTGTCAGAGTGGGCGCCTGTGACAAGCGGGGTTCCACAGGGGTCAGTCCTAGGACCTGTGCTGTTCTTGGTATATGTGAATGACATAACGGAAGGGATAGACTCAGAAGTGTCCTTGTTTGCGGACGATGTGAAGTTAATGAGAAGAATCAAATCGGATGAGGATCAGGCAGGACTACAAAGAGACCTGGACAGGCTACAAGCCTGGTCCAGCAACTGGCTCCTTGAGTTTAACCCCGCCAAATGCAAAGTCATGAAGATTGGGGAAGGGCAAAGAAGACCGCAGACACAATATAGTTTAGATGGCCAAAGTCTGCAAACCTCACTCAAGGAAAAAGATCTGGGGTGAGTATAACACCGAGCATATCTCCCGAGGCGCACATCAATCAGATAACTGCTGCAGCATATGGGCGCCTGGCAAAATTACGGATAGCGTTCCGATACCTCAGTAAGGATTCGTTCAAGACTCTGTATACCATTTACGTCAGGCCCATACTGGAGTATGCAGCACCAGTTTGGAATCCACACCTAGTCAAGCACGTCAAGAAATTAGAGAAAGTGCAAAGGTTTGCAACAAGACTAGTCCCAGAGCTACGGGGATTGTCCTACGAAGAAAGGTTGAGGGAAATCGGTCTGACGACACTGGAGGCCAGGAGGGTCAGGGGAGACATGATAACGACATATAAAATACTGCGCGGAATAGACGAAGTGGACAAAGACGGGATGTTCCAGAGATGGGACACAGACACAAGAGGTCACAATTGGAAGTTGAAGACTCAGATGAATCAGAGGGATGTTAGGAAGTATTTCTTCAGTCATAGAGTAGTCAAGCCGTGGAATAGCCTAGAAAGTGAAGTAGTGGAGGCGGGAACCATACATAGTTTTAAGGCGAGGTATGATAAAGCTCATGGAGCAGGGAGAGAGAGGACCTAGTAGCAATCAGTGAAGAGGCGGGGCCAGGAGCTATGACTCGACCCCTGCAACCACAAATAGGTGAGTACAAATAGGTGAGTACACACACAGACCAGGCAGAAATACAAAGGGATCTGGACAGGCTGCAGACCTGGTCCAGCAACTGGCTCCTGGAGTTCAATCCCACCAAGTGCAAAGTCATGAGGATTGGGGAAGGGCAAAGAAGACCGCAGACGGAGTACAGTCTAGGGGGCCAGAGACTACAAACATCACTCAAGGAAAAAGATCTTGGGGTGAGTATAACACCAGGCACATCTCCTGAAGCGCACATCAACCAAATAACTGCCGAAGCATATGGGCGCCTGGCAAACCTCAGAACAGCATTCCGACATCTTAATAAGGAATCGTTCAGGACCCTGTACACCGTGTACGTTAGACCCATATTGGAGTATGCGGCACCAGTTTGGAACCCACACCTAGCCAAGCATGTAAAGAAACTAGAGAAAGTGCAAAGGTTTGCAACAAGACTAGTCCCAGGGTTAAGAGGTATGTCCTATGAGGAGAGGTTAAGGGAAATCAATTTGACGACACTGGAGGACAGGAGAGATAGGGGGGACATGATAACGACTTACAAAATATTGAGAGGAATTGACAAGGTGGACAAAGACAGGATGTTCCAAAGACTGGACACAGCAACACGGGGACACAGTTGGAAGCTGAAGACACAGATGAATCAAAGGGATGTTAGGAAGTATTTCTTCAGCCACAGAGTAGTCAGGAAGTGGAATAGTTTGGGAAGAGATGTAGTGGAGGCAGGATCCATACATAGCTTTAAGCAGAGGTACGATAAAGCTCATGGTTCAGGGAGAGTGACCTAGTAGAGACCAGTGAAGAGGCGGGGCCAGGAGCTTGGACTCGACCCCTGCAACCTCAACTAGGTGAGTACACACACACACACACACACACACACACACACACACACACACACACGGATCTGCAGGAGGCCAAGAGAGGAATATGAAGAGAGCAACAGAGCAATGGTGGACACACTTGCTGAGGTGGCAAGAAGAGCTCACTCCAGCAGAGCAAAGTTGCTGGTTATGGGGGATTTCAACCACAGGGAGATAGACTGGGAAAACCTGGAGCCACATGGGGGTCCCGAAACATGGAGAGCCAGGATGTTGGACATGGTGCTGGAAAACCTTATGCACCAACATGTTAAGGACACTACCAGAGTGCGAGGGAGGATGAACCAGCAAGATTGGACCTTGTGTTCACCCTGGGCAGCTCAGACATTGAGAACATCAAGTATGAGAGTCCCCTAGGAGCTAGCGACCACGTGGTTCTGTGCTCTGAATACATTGTAGAGCTGCAAGTGGAGAGAATAACAGGAGTTGAATGGGAAAAGCCTGACTATAAAAGAGGGGACTACATAGGGTTGAAGAACTTCCTGCGGGAGGTCCAGTGGGACAGAGAACTGGCAGGAAAGCCAGTAAATGAAATGATGGAATATGTAACAACAAAATGCAAGGAGGCGGTGGAAAGGTTTATTCCCAAGGGCAACAGTAACAACGGGAAGACCAGAACGAGCCCTGGTTTCCCCGACGGTGTAAGGAGGCAAAAAACAAAATGCAATAGAGAATGGAAAAAGTACAGAAGGCAGAGAACACACGAAAATAGGGAGATCAGTCGCAGAGCCAGGAATGAGTACGCACAGGTAAGGAGGGAGGCCCAACGACAGTATGAAAATGACATAGCATCGAGAATCAAGACTGACCCGAAACTGTTGTATAGCCACATCAGGAGGAAGACAACAGTCAAAGACCAGGTGATCAGATTAAGGACAGAAGGTGGAGAACTCACAAGAAATAATCAGGAGGTATGTGAGGAGCTGAACAGGAGATTTAAGGAAGTTTTTGCAGTAGAGGGCAGGAAGGGCTGTGGGAAGACAGCACAGAAGGGAACATCAAGAGGGAATATACCAACAAGTGTTGGATGACATACGAACAACTGAGGAGGAGGTGAAGAAGCTCTTAAGTGACCTTGACACCTCAAAGGCGATGGGACCAGACAACATCTCCCCATGGGTCATTAGAGAAGGAGCAGAGATGCTGTGCATGCCTCTAACCACAATCTTCAACACATCCCTTGAAACTGGGCAACTACCTGAGAAATGGAAGACAGCTAATGTAGTCCCCATATTTAAGAAAGGAAACAGAAACGAGGCACTAAACTACAGACCTGTGTCTCTGACATGTATTGTGTGCAAAGTCATGGAGAAGATTATCAGGAGGAGAGTGGTCGAACACCTGGAAAGGAACAAGATTATAAATGACAGTATGAAAATGACATAGCATCGAGAATCAAGACTGACCCGAAACTGTTGTATAGCCACATCAGGAGGAAGACAACAGTCAAAGACCAGGTGATCAGATTAAGGACTGAAAGTGGAGAACTCACAAGAAATGATCAGGAGGTATGTGAGGAGCTGAACAGGAGATTTAAGGAAGTTTTTACAGTAGAGACAGGAAGGGCTGTGGGAAGACAGCACAGAAGGGAACATCAAGAGGGAATATACCAACAAGTGTTGGATGACATACGAACAACTGAGGAGGAGGTGAAGAAGCTCTTAAGTGACCTTGACACCTCAAAGGCGATGGGACCAGACAACATCTCCCCATGGGTCCTTAGAGAAGGAGCAGAGATGCTCTGTGTGCCTCTAACCACAATCTTCAACACATCCCTTGAAACTAGGCAACTACCTGAGAAATGGAAGACAGCTAATGTAGTCCCATATTTAAGAAAGGAAACAGAAACGAGGCACTAAACTACAGACCTGTGTCTCTGACATGTATTGTGTGCAAAGTCATGGAGAAGATTATCAGGAGGAGAGTGGTCGAACACCTGGAAAGGAACAAGATTATAAATGAAAACCAGCATGGGTTCATGGAAGGCAAATCTTGTATCACAAACCTCCTGGAGTTTTATGACAAGGTAACAGAAGTAAGACACGAGAGAGAGGGGGTGGGTAGATTGCGTTTTCCTAGACTGCAGGAAGGCCTTTGACACAGTTCCCACAAGAGATTATTGCAGAAGCTGGAGGATCAGGCGCATGTAAAAGGGAGGGCACTGCAATGGATAAGGGAATACCTGACAGGGAGGCAGCAACGGTCATGGTACGTCAAGAGGTATCACAGTGGGCCCTGTTACGAGCGGGGTCCACAGGGGTCAGTTCTAGGACCAGTGCTATTTTTGATATATGTGAACGACATGATGGAAGGAATAGACTCTGAAGTGTCCCTGTTCGCAGATGACGTGAAGTTGATGAGAAGAATTAAATCGGACGAGGATGAGGCAGGACTGCAAAGAGACCTGGACAGGCTGGACATGTGGTCCAGTAACTGGCTTCTCGAATTCAATCCAGCCAAATGCAAAGTCATGAAGATTGGGGAGGTGCAAAGAAGACCGCAGACAGAGTATAGGCTAGGTGGACAAAGACTACAGACCTCACTCAGGGAGAAAGACCTTGGGGTGACCATAACACCGAGCACATCACCGGAGGCACACATCAAACCAAATAACCGCTGCAGCATATGGGCGCCTGGCAAACCTGAGAATAGCGTTCCGATACCTTAATAAGGAATCGTTCAAGACACTGTACACTGTGTATGTTAGGCCCATACTGGAGTATGCAGCACCAGTCTAGAACCCACACCTGGTCAAGCACGTCAAGAAGTTAGAGAAAGTACAAAAGTTTGCAACAAGGCTAGTCCCAGAGCTCAGGGATGTCGTACGAGGAAAGGTTAAGGGAAATCGGACTGACGACACTGGAGGGCAGAAGGGTCAGGGGAGACATAATAACGACATACAAGATACTGCGGGGAATAGACAAGGTGGACAGAGATAGGATGTTCCAGAGAGGGGACTCAGGGACAAGGGGTCACAACTGGAAGCTGATGACTCAGACGAGTCACAGGGACGTTAGGAAGTATTTCTTCAGTCATAAAGTTGTCAGCAAGTGGAATAGCCTAGCAAGTGAAGTAGTGGAGGCAGGAACCATACATAGTTTTAAGAAGAGGTATGACAAAGCTCAGGAACCAGAGAGAGAGAGGATCCAGTAGCGATCAGTGAAGAGGCGGGGCCAGGAGCTGAGTCTCGACCCCTGCAATCACAATTAGGTGAGTACAATTAGGTGAGTACACACACACACACACACACACACACACATATGGTAATGCTTTATCTACAGAGAGCAAAGTCATGGTATTTATCCCGAATAGTTTGTAATATACCACTGTGGATAAAATGTTGGCCATGTTTATGTAGCAATATATAGTTACTGGTTGTTAGTGGACAGTTGTGGGTGGTATCCCTGGTATGGTAATATATCTTAGATAGGTCTACGCTATGTAATTAGTTGTCATTCATATATTTATGTGTATCCTTGCAGCTTGTATTTTTTTAATGCTACGTTAATAGGGGAAGCAGGTGTGAAGACTTGTGCAAACGTCTCTGCTTCCCTGTGATTGAACCCAGGTCCTTTGAACCATACCCCCGGCCGGGATTGAACCCGCGGTCATAGAGTCTCAAAACTCCAGCCCGTCGCGCTAGCCACGTGTCATTACGATTTCTTAAGTCATGTTGACGGCAGTGAAGGGACTTGAGCTAGAGTTCGTCACGGCCACGCTAGCTGGAGATTCGTCTGTAAAAACTTGCATTTGTGGTCACAGAGGTGCCTGTGCTAACCTTCCTATGGTGTAGAAATATACCTAGTTGGATGAATCTTATTGTGGCTAGCTGGTCTAGTGGCTAGCGCGACGGGCTGGAGTTTTGAGACTCTATGACCGCGGGTTCAATCCCGGCCGGGGGTATGGTTTATTTGCAATCGTGTCATTACGATTTCTTAAGTCAGGTCCTTTGGTTTTGAGCCAAAGGTGCTATCACTTAGCTACGGGCTATATATGTTATGTCATAGAGGTTTTGCTCATATTGGTCCATGCTGAGATGATGACTACCTAAATTGTTATTGCTGAGAAAATATTCTTCTGAATTTAAATAATATCTTTACTGGAGAGAAAAGTAATACCAACGCTCTCTTATGAACTAAATAAATACCAGTGATGTTTGTCGAACTTCTGAAACTTAGTGTTTTATGTTACATACTGAATATTTCATACCAATTTTGTATAAGCAAATAAGATGGAATAGAAAACAATGTATTATTATTATTGTTATTACAATCAAAACTAAGCGCTAAACCCACAAGTCATACAGCGCTGAAAAGAAAATAGTGTAAAACGTAAGACCAAGAGATATTTTGTGTAGTAATGCCCAAGTTATTGACCTATGTTCTATCAACACATTGAAAATGTACACTAGTCTGTTTCGGTTAGGTTAGGCATGAAACCTAAGTGAGTAAATTCAGCTCATTGTACGTACCTTAGGTCCTCGGTGTCCGAATATCATCCCATCATATGTACATTTGTATATTAAAAAAGTAATAGTGAGGTGTATCACAATTTTTTTGTATTTTTACAGACTATCACATTTCAGTTATTAATCGCGTCCACTACGGCTCGGGTGGTGTATCTTCCTTTTCACAAAATCGTTTTGGTGGAGAAGTAATGAAGTTCGCTGCTCCACAGTACGACTCGCTGGACGAAAGCTCACCAGCTGGTACAACTGGGGATTCTCCTCGCACCTACTTCCCTGAGACCTGGTTGTGGGACCTGTTTGTATTACCGTAAGTTATATGTCTAATTTAGTATTGTATTGTATATTATGAAACACTAAACTCATGTGGGTTATTCACTGCAAGTGCTAAACGCTAGTTTGCTAGTACAGTTTCGTTTGATAGGTTAATTAAACACCCTATATACATACTGTGCGTCGTAGAGGCACATAATGGGCCCAAGGACTGGGCCCCAACATTTTTATTAGATAAGCAAGTCACAGTAGTAATGAACCACTTATAAATTTATTAATCTAATAACAACAGTAATGTTTTGATTAGTTAGGTTGTTTGCGATCCTAATTTCTAATCTGGTGTCTTTGAATTAATAATTTATTAGTACCATTTGTCTTAGTTTCTGCTTTATAAAATGATTTTCACATGGGTAACCTTACGAAGGTATTCATAAAACTTTCCACACATTCTTGGAAATGTTAATATGTGCATAATGCTTTATAAATAATAAGCAAGCTAGAAAACTCACCAAATATATTAATGCTTATATTGCTAGAGCTGTTTTATCAAAAGAATATTTGAGTGCAATTGTACTATATAATTCTATTAAATAGATGAAATTTAATTGAAGTAAATTGTAATATAAATTAAAATATAGTACAATTCAATATGCAATGAAATGCGAGTTGAATTTATCCTCCGTATCGATGGTATTTGTGTATATTTCTAATATATATTCTATACAAATGGTTCTTAAGTAAGAGTGTAAGTGTAGAGTTATCTTGGTGATGTAACTTAACAGAAGAACTGTTAAAAACTGTTAAGTAAGAGTGTAAGTGTAGAGTTATCTTGATGATGTAACTTAACAGAAGAACTGTTAAAAACTGTTAAGTAAGAGTGTAAGTGTAGAGTTATCTTGATGATGTAACTTAACAGAAGAACTGTTAAAAACTGTTAAGTAAGAGTGTAAGTGTAGAGTTATCTTGATGATGTAACTTAACAGAAGAACTGTTAAAAACCTATTATCTTACTTCATCTTAAATGAAAGAACATTAAAATAGCTATTTTGTTTCATCACTTAATTAAAGAACAGTTTCCCTCGAGGGGGAGGAAGGTCCTTGATGTCAGTGAAGGGCTCTTGATCATGGGGAAGTACTAAACCCCCTACAGGTTTAGTACTCTCTCCCCATGAATGTAATAATAAAAGAAGGACCGTTGTGAAAGCCGGTATGTTACTATAACTTTACTGAAGAATTATTAAATTAACTATTGTGCCACTTCAGCTTAACCGAAGAACTCTTAAAATAATTTTCTTACAGTAACTTAAGTTAATGACAAGTTAAACTGCCTGGCACTGTAACACCCCTTCGGGTTTAGCTCTTCCCATTAATAATAATAATAATAATAATAATAATAATAATAATAATAATAATTTGTAAAATAAGATCACATTTTGTGGAGGTACAGGTCTGATGGTATAAGCAGCAAAGAGGTAACCATGCCAGATACCATCACACAGTGGGTGGGCAAGGCAGTGTGTGTCCACCCACAAGAAGGTCTGGGCGTGTCTCAGAAGTCTAATATAACCGCTTTTACCTCATTCTTCGTCGACCTCACGTTGCCACCCTCCATCAAACGAGGAGAAACGCTTCCAGTTAAAATTTCCATCTTTAACTACCTCGAGGATCCGTTACCAGTAAGTCTCGTTCATACACGCCACTCCCTGAACAGTTGTTTTATGAGTAAAATAATGTAGTAGTCTCTAGCTATGTGACAGTACATGATGTAAAATAAGTCAATACTATGGACGAAAATTGGACGATGTATCAGTCCATCCTTAACCATTATCTAGTAATAACTTTTTAATAGCCCAGGAAGAATCGAAGTCATTAACTTTTCCTTTAAAATGTGTAGGTTAGTTGTGAATATATGATCTATACATTGTAATGATATGAAGCAAAGTTAGTTTTTAAGAGTCATTCCGTCTTCTCATTCATGTCTTTGCTCAAGATTTCAGTGACTTTACTGAATAGTTTTAAGTACGAAATCTTGACATCTGACACGGAAGCACCAGGTCATCACACGACATGTGTAAACGCCCAGAGCAAGATAGTGCACACAGTGAAGATCAAGCCTTCTGTCATTGGCAGTGTTAACATCACTGTGGCAGCAAAGGTGGATCATCAGTCCACTCAGACGTGTGGCCCAAGAGACTCAACTGTTTCAAAGAGGTCAGAACACGCTTTTACAATAATGGTTCACGTGCGGGAATTAATGCATTTATATATGGTTTGACTGAGTATCGGTTGTTTTAAAATCCAAGTTCATGCTAATAGCATACAACATTTTTTTAAACAAGCTGCAAGCTTATAACGTGGAAGTAAATTCTTAATGTTCCAACTTTGATGTTACTGCTTTATTTACTGGGGTATCTGTGAATTATCTATTAGTTTTTTGATTTGTTGACTACAAATTCGAATTTAATAATATACCACTGTTAAAAAATATGGTATGTTCTTTGGAAAAACCCTATTATTTGTGTTGAATAAGATGTAAATATTCATCCCAGGCTATAGAAGGGTTGTAATCCCTTCCACTACTAAATATTCGAATAAATGTGTAAATAATGTGAACATGTGATTAAAGTTTGGAGATTTCCTTCCCGTTTTTAAGAGACCTGTCTCGTCTATCAAGTTAAGAAAATCAATTGAGCAGTGGTATAATCTTTTTTGGATACTCAAGTGCATAGACAAAGCTTTTCTTTTAAAAACGAGTAAAGCCAAGTATGTTTTTGTTTGTGTTCCCGATGGAGAGCCTTGCACGTTTGTAACTCAGAATTCTTTGACTGAGTTAGAGCCTTGCATGTTTGCAACCCAGAACTCTTTGACTGAGTTAGAGCCTTAATAAGTAAGTAAGTAAGTTTATTCAGGTATACGCAAATACAGTTACATAGAATTATCATACATAGCAGCATATGTGTAGAGAACCTGGGATAACCCAAAAAAGTCAGACAGAGTGACTTATTTCCTTGCATGTTTGCAACCCAGAACTCTTTGAGTGAGTTAGAGCCTTTCATGTTTGCAACCCAGAACTCTTTGAGTGAGTTAGAGCCTTGCATGTTTGCAACCCAGAACTCTTTGACTGAGTTAGAGCCCTGCATGTTTGCAACCCAGAACTCTTTGAGTGAGGGAGAGCCTTGCATGTTTGCAACCCAGAACTCTTTGACTGAGTTAGAGCCTGGAGTTTACCTGGAGTTTACCTGGAGAGAGTTCCGGGGGTCAACGCCCCCGCGGCCCGGTCTGTGACCAGGCCTCCTGGTGGATCAGAGCCTGATCAACCAGGCTGCTACTGCTGGCTGCACGCAAACAACGTACGAGCCACAGCCCGGCTGGTCAGGAACCGACATTAGGTGCTTGTCCAGTGCCAGCTTGAAGACTGCCAGGGGTCTGTTGGTAATCCCCCTTATGTATGCTGGGAGGCAGTTGAACAGTCTCGGGCCCCTGACACTTATTGTATGGTCTCTTAACGTGCTAGATGGGTGGTGATCTTGCTTCTTAGGACCCTTTCAAAGATTTTTATGACATGGAATGTTAGTGCTATCGGTCTGTAGTTCTTTGCTGTTGCTTTACTGCCCCCTTTGTGGAGTGAGGCTATGTCTGTTGTTTTTAGTAACTGTGGGAGGACCCCCGTGTCCATGCTCCCTCTCCATAGGATGGTAAAAGCTCGTGATAGGGGCTTCTTGCAGTTCTTGATGAACACGGAGTTCCATGAGTCTGCCCCTGGGGCAGAGTGCATGGGCATGTCATTTATCGCCTGTTCGAAGTCATTTGGCGTCAGGATAACATCAGATAGGCTTGTGTTAACCAAATTCTGTGGCTCTCTCATAAAAAATTCATTTTGATCTTCGACTCTCAGTCTGGTTAGCGGCTTGCTAAAAACCGAGTCATATTGGGATTTGAGTAGCTCACTCATTTCCTTGCTGTCATCTGTGTAGGACCCATCTTGTTTAAGTAAGGGCCCAATACTGGACGTTGTTCTCGACTTTGATTTGGCATAGGAGAAGAAATACTTTGGGTTTATTTCGATTTCATTTATGGCTTTTAGTTCTTCCCGCGATTCCTGACTCCTATAAGATTCCTTTAGCTTAAGTTCGATGCTTGCTATTTCTCTGACCAGTGTCTCCCTACGCATTTCAGATATATTGACCTCTTTTAGCCCCTCTGTTATTCTTTTCCGTCGCCTGTAAAGGGAGCGCCTGTCTCTTTCTATTTTACATCTACTCCTCCTTTTTCTTAGAGGAATAAGCCTTGTGCATACATCGAGTGCCACCGAGTTAATCTGTTCTAGGCATAAGTTGGGGTCTGTGTTGCTTAGTATATCTTCCCAGCTTATATCGGTTAGGACTTGGTTTGCTTGGTCCCACTTTATGTTTTTGTTATTGAAGTTGAATTTGGTGAATGCTCCCTCATGACTAATCTCATTATGTCGGTCTGGGGCTCCGCGCATACATGTCTGAACCTCAATTATGTTGTGATCTGAGTATATTGTTTTTGATATGGTGACATTTCGTATCAGATCATCATTGTTAGTGAAGATGAGGTCTAGTGTATTCTCCATTCTAGTAGGCTCTATTATTTGCTGGTTTAAATTGAATTTTGTGCAGAGATTTAAAAGCTCGTGTGAGTGTGGGTTTTCATCAGAGCTGCCTCCTGGTGTTATTTCTGCAACAATATTATTTGCTATATTCCTCCATTTTAGGTGCCTTAAGTTGAAATCCCCCAGGAGCAAGATGTTGGGTGCAGGAGCTGGCAGATTTTCCAAACAGTGGTCAATTTTTAACAGCTGTTCCTGGAATTGCTGGGATGTTGCATCCGGAGGCTTGTAGACTACCACAATGACTAGGTTTTGGTTCTCGATCTTTACTGCTAAAACTTCCACTACATCATTTGAGGCATTAAGCAGTTCTGTGCAAACAAGTGACTCTGCAATGTACAGGCCAACCCCCTTTCTTTTGCCTGTTCACTCTGTCACAGCTGTATAGGTTGTAACCTGGGATCCATATTTCGTTGTCCAAGTGATCCTTTATGTGGGTCTCAGTGAAAGCCGCGAACATTGCCTTTGCCTCTGCAAGCAGTCCACAGATGAAAGGTATTTTGTTGTTTGTTGCTGGCTTTAGACCCTGTATATTTTCAAAGAAGAATGTTATCGGACTGATGGTATTGTTGGTATCTGTTGGTTTGGAGTGGAGGCCATCGACTGTGGTTCCACTCCAGGAATGACTGGATTTGGTGTACGATTTCTGCCATTTCCTGCCAGTTTTTTTTCCTTCCTGGCACTAAAAAACCTCTCCCTCTTGAGTGGCTGTGGCTACCCAGGTTTTCCCATGGCCTGGATGTTTTGTATCTTTTTTTTTAAGTTATAGCACAGTCTTTCCTGTACTGAAGAGGTACACATTTCAGGGTGAAAAAGCTTACAGGAAGGGAGTTTGCATTTTCCTGTTGTCATATGGGCACAGCATTTTCTAGGGTGGTCATAGTTGCACGTCCCATCTGTTTTTCCAGATTTCCCATGCCTGCAGATACCAAGTGCATAGTATGTGCACAGGCTTGGTTTCCGTTTGCCTTGGATTTCTGTGACTGTATTCCCTTTTGGTGCATGTTTACCTGTCTTATTCCTATCCTTCCTAGCACCAACAATGGAGCTCCCACCAGTTGTTTTTGGTAATATATCCTCACTATTGCTAGTGGAGTCCTGTTGTTTGCTATTTCCTGTGGTATTTCTAGTTTGCAATATTGGTTTTATCTTATCTTTGACTACACTTGTTTTCCCACTACGGCTCCTGTTTCCCATGAGGTCATTTATATGCATTCCTTCCTGCGTATAATTCCCGACTACCTGGACAAAATTTCCAGCTTCACCATTACTGTCTCCCAGGACAGCACCTCCAGCTTCACCATTACTGTCTCCCAGAACAACACTATCAGCCCCACATTTACTGACTACCAGGACATCACCCCCAGCCTTACAGTTTCTGACTACATGGCCAGCATCAAGGGGCAGTACCATTCAGCCCAGACTTTTTATGTTCCCATCTGTTGTAGAAAGCTTCCAGGTTTTCCAAGAAAGCAGCTTTGATGTTATCCTCTTTTAATACCGATGTGATTTTAGTCCACAGATTTATCTCATTTGGGCATACCCAAAAACACTTCCCTGTTTTAATACTGCTTGTAGCTAGTTCTTGCATACCTGCACAAGGGGCGTGACACCAATTTCCACAAAAATGACAATTTATCCATGTGGAAGCCCGTTTGTTTGATTGATTGCAGACTACACAGGGCTTCATAATGATTTGAGTGGTTGATTTGCTGTAATTCTACTAGCAACCTCTTGAATACTCTATTAGTAGCCCCTTAAAGTGAAGCTCTAGCTATTTGTATTTCTATTTCTAACTGTACTTGTATATTAGGACAGCTTACCGGTGTACGCTCCTGTTTTATATTTCCAACCCAGAACTCTTTGACTGAGAGCCTTGCATGTTTGCAACCCAGAACTCTTTGACTGAGTTAGAGCCTTGCATGTTTGCAACCCAGAACTCTTTGACTGAGTTAGAGCCTTGCATGTTTGCAACCCAGAACTCTTTGACTGAGTTAGAGCCTTGCATGTTTGCAACCCAGAACTCTTTGAGTGAGGGAGAGCCTTGCATGTTTGCAACCTAGAACTCTTTGACTGAGTTAGAGCCTTGCTTGTTTCCAACCCAGAACTCTTTGACTGAGAACCTTGCATGTGTGCAACCCAGAACTCTTTGACTGAGTTAGAGCCTTGACATGCTTGCAACCCAGAACTCTTTGGGTTAGAGCCTTGCATGTTTGCAACCCAGAACTCTTTGACTGAGTTAGAGCCTTGCATGCCTGCAACCCAGAACTCTTTGACTGAGGGAGAGCCTTGCATGTTTGTAACCCAGAACTCTTTGTCTGAGTTAGAGCCTTGCTTGTTTCCAACCCAAAACTCTTTGACTGAGAGCCTTGCATGTTTGCAACCCAGAACTCTTTGACTGAGTTAGAGCCTTGCATGCTTGCAACCCAGAACTCTTTGACTGAGTTAAAGCCTTGCATGTTTGCAACTCAGAACTCTTTGACTGAGTTAGAGCATTGCATGTTTGCAACCCATAACTCTTTGAGTGAGTTAGAGCCTTGCATGCTTGCAACCCAGAACTCCTTGACTGAGTTAGAGCCTTGCATGTTTGCAACCCTGAACTCTTTGACTGAGTTAGAGCCTTGCATGCTTGCAACCCAGAACTCTTTGACTGAGTTAGAGCCTTGCATGTTTGCAACCCGAACTCTTTGACTGAGTTAGAGCCTTGCATGTTTGCAACCCAGAACTCTTTGACTGAGTAAGAGCCTTGCATGTTTGCAACCCAGAACTCTTTGAGTGAGGGAGAGCCTTGCATGTTTGCAACCCAGAACTCTTTGACTGAGTTAGAGCCTTGCATGTTTGCAACCCAGAACTCTTTGACTGAGTTAGAGCCTTGCATGTTTGCAACCCAGAACTCTTTGACTGAGTTAGAGCCTTGCATGTTTGCAACCCAGAACTCTTTGACTGAGTTAGAGCCTTGCATGTTTGCAACCCAGAACTCTTTGAGTGAGGGAGAGCCTTGCATGTTTGCAACCCAGAACTCTTTGAGTGAGGGAGAGCCTTGCATGTTTGCAACCCAGAACTCTTTGAGTGATGGAGAGCCTCGCATGTTTGCAACCCAGAACTCTTTGAGTGAGGGAGAGCCTTGCATGTTTGCAACCCAGAACTCTTTGAGTGAGGGAGAGCCTCGCATGTTTGCAACCCAGAACTCTTTGAGTGAGGGAGAGCCTTGCATGTTTGCAACCCAGAACTCTTTGAGTGAGGGAGAGCCTCGCATGTTTGCAACCCAGAACTCTTTGAGTGAGGGAGATCCTCGCATGTTTGCAACCCAGAACTCTTTGACTGAGTTAGAGCCTTGCATGTTTGCAACCCAGAACTGTTTGACTGAGTTAGAGCCTTGCATGTTTGCAACCCAGTACTCTTTGACTGAGTTAGAGCCCCTCGCATGTTTACAACCCAGAACTCTTTGAGTGAGGGAGAGCCTTGCATGTTTGCAACCCAGAGCTCTTTGACTGAGTTAGAGCCTTGCATGTTTGCAACCCAGAACTCTTTGACTGAGTTAGAGCCTTGCATGTTTGCAACCCAAAACTCTTTGACTGAGTTAGAGCCTTGCATGTTTGCAACCCAGAACTCTTTGATGGTGAAATCAACTAATTTTATAGTTTCCACGCTTCAGTATTGACAGAGTCTACAAAAGGAAAATATAAGTGGTATACATATATACACCGAGAAGTGTATGTATCTCATTGTGTATATACTCAAAGCTTACCTTAATCCCTGTTTTGGAAATTAACGTATTCTTGACTCTTGACCAGGCTGCATGAAGCTTAATTAAATTTATGACCTTCGTGTAGTCGATAGGCTTTAAACTCAAATAATCAAATCAACCAACAGGTCGTAGTGTAGAATATATACAACTAAGTGTTTTTGCTTAACATACAGTGAAAATCTGTCATGTTTTCATAACCCTTGAAGGTCTGTATTGGCTGTATTTTAGTAATTTGTATTGGATTGTTTTTATATTGTATATTTAACTCATTTTCTGTTCAGGTATTTCAGCGATTTTCTTTCAATTTGCCCTCAGACGATTGGTTATAATCTTTGTAAGGATGTTAGTTGTTCTTACTCGTGAGTTTATAGTAAGGGATTAGCAATTTTCTATCGGTTTTCATTTTTTTTTAATTTTTATTAGCCTTCTCCAGTTCATGCATGAAATATGTAAACAAAACATACCACGGGCGGGATATGAATCCGCGGTTTGTTTGCAATCGTGTCATTACGATTTCGTGAGTCATGAAATATGTACTTTGCAAGTAGTTCCCCGTTTTCTGTTCCAGCATCAAGACACTCGCCTTTATATATTACTGCATTTATTGGTATTACTGTATGTTATGATTGGTTAAATTTGGTTAATTGACGCTAGCTTACCCTTACCAAACCTAAATAACGTATGGAAAAGGGCACCTGCGGTTAGTAGGTTAATTGGGTTTAAAGCTTGTTGACTACACGAGGGTTATTCAAGCTGCCTAAAATTGGGATTAAAATAAATTCACTGAATGCAGTGACACATGCCTTTTGGTGTGTTATATCCATGACGTGTGCAAACACTAAGACATCGTCTTAAGAATTTGCGCACATGTCATTTTCCTCAATTTGTTTGTATTTTATACCAGTTTATTAATAACATATGTAGTGAAGTTGGTTTAAGCATAAGTAAAAAAAATGTTGGAATTAGGACAGACTACTAGTAATGAAGTTTAAGGACAAGATGTGGGTACAAATGAAAATTATTTGGTTTCTAGCATTAGATTTAAAATAGAGTGGTGCTAAGACGTCATGTTAGAGTGGTGCGAAGACGTCATGTTAGAGTGGTGCGAAGACGTCATGTTAGAGTGGTGCGAAGACGTCATGTTAGAGTGGTGCGAAGACGTCATGTTAGAGTGGTGCGAAGACGTCATGTTAGAGTGGTGCGAAGACGTCATGTTAGAGTGGTGCGAAGACGTCATGTTAGAGTGGTGCGAAGACGTCATGTTAACCTTCCTGGATATACATACAGTGGGAATTTATTATTAGAATTCACGAGTTTATGCAAACCTACGCATTTAATTTATTTTTCAAACTTTGTCACAATTCTCACCACTACAATTTAAGACTTGGCTTAATCGAAGAATTATCAAATGAGAGCCAGTATTACATAGTTATTATAGAGTAAGAAAAATGAAACCAAAACAGCAGATGTTGATACTAAATTATTAATGCCTTACCACTGAAACATATGCGAGAACATGGAAAGCGAAATCCACACTCACCATGAACTTCTACCAATTCTAAAAAAATAGTGGAGTTCAAAAATGAAACCTCTCTTGATGTTCTTAATGTATACGAAGCTTCTTTCAAGGACAGTAATCAGTTGTAAATAAAATAACCATTAGGTTTAATCTCTTAGAGATCTACCATTACCGGTATGTATGAAACATTAGAGATCTACCATTACCGGTTTGTATGAAACATTAGAGATCTACCATTACCCGTTTGTATGAAACAGAGATCTACCATTACCCGTTTGTATGAAACATTAGAGATCTACCATTACCGGTATGTATGAAACATTAGAGATCTACCATTACCGGTATGTATGAAACATTAGAGATCTACCATTACCGGTATGTATGAAACATTAGAGATCTACCATTACCGGTATGTATGAAACAGAGATCTACCATTACCGGTATGTATGAAACATTAGAGATCTACCATTACCGGTATGTATGAAACATTAGAGATCTACCATTACCGGTATGTATGAAACATTAGAGATCTACCATTACCGGTATGTATGAAACATTAGAGATCTACCATTACCGGTATGTATGAAACATTAGAGATCTACCATTACCGGTATGTATGAAACATTAGAGATCTACCATTACCGGTATGTATGAAACATTAGAGATCTACCATTACCGGTATGTATGAAACATTAGAGATCTCCATTACCGGTATGTATGAAACATTAGAGATCTACCATTACCGGTATGTATGAAAACATTAGAGATCTACCATTACCGGTTTGTATGAAACATTAGAGATCTACCATTACCGGTTTGTATGAAACATTAGAGATCTACCATTACCGGTTTGTATGAAACATTAGAGATCTACCATTACCGGTATGCATGAAACATTAGAGATCTACCATTACCGGTATGTATGAAACAGAGATCTACCATTACCAGTATGTATGAAACATTAGAGATCTACCATTACCGGTTTGTATGAAACATTAGAGATCTACCATTACCGGTATGTATGAAACATTAGAGATCTACCATTACCGGTATGTATGAAACATTAGAGATCTACCATTACCGGTTTGTATGAAACATTAGAGATCTACCATTACCGGTATGTATGAAACATTAGAGATCTACCATTACCGGTATGTATGAAACATTAGAGATCTACCATTACCGGTATGTATGAAGCAGAGATCTACCATTACCGGTATGTATGAAACATTAGAGATCTACCATTACCGGTATGTATGAAACATTAGAGATCTACCATTACCGGTTTGTATGAAACATTAGAGATCTACCATTACCGGTTTGTATGAAACATTAGAGATCTACCATTACCGGTTTGTATGAAACATTAGAGATCTACCATTACCGGTATGCATGAAACATTAGAGATCTACCATTACCGGTATGTATGAAACATTAGAGATCTACCATTACCGGTATGTATGAAACAGAGATCTACCATTACCAGTATGTATGAAACATTAGAGATCTACCATTACCGGTATGTATGAAACATTAGAGATCTACCATTACCGGTATGTATGAAACATTAGAGATCTACCATTACCGGTTTGTATGAAACATTAGAGATCTACCATTACCGGTATGTATGAAACATTAGAGATCTACCATTACCGGTATGTATGAAACATTAGAGATCTACCATTACCGGTATGTATGAAGCAGAGATCTACCATTACCGGTATGTATGAAACATTAGAGATCTACCATTACCGGTATGTATGAAACATTAGATATCTACCATTACCGGTATGTATGAAACAGAGATCTACCATTACCGGTATGTATGAAACAGAGATCTACCATTACCGGTATGTATGAAACATTACAGCGTCTTAGAAATTATAACTAAGTTATATACGATACTTAATTTCTTTCATACTTTAATTTTTTTTCTATTTAGCATAGTATTAAATTTGTACTTTATTATGTAAATACAATATAAATGTTGTTGCATATATATATATAATATATAATATATATATTATATATATATATATATATATATATATATATATATATATATATATATATATATATTAGTAATATATATATATATTTTATATATATATATTAACTGAAATTAGGAAAGAAGAACTATAGATAACTCTTAATATTTTCTTGCCCTTAGTGACACTTTGATCAGGGCCATTGATGTGGAAGCTGAGGGCTTCCCTAGGGAGAACGCTTGGACAAAATATGTTTGCGCCAGAGGTAAGATTTATGAACTATAAACTGCTGTACATTAACAGACATAAAGTATTAATTCACTTAAGAGAATATTAGCTGTTGAGTTGAATATGAAGAGAATGCTCCGCTACCGTTTCTTCTGATCACTTTTTATGCAGAAGAGATGATACGCTTTCGTTTATATAAAGCCATCTTATTTTGATACTTATTTAAATGCATTTTCTTCTTTCCTCAAACAAACAAAAGAAAGCAGTTATTCCCCTGCTGTTGTTTACCCCCCTGATGAGGACTCCAATGAGACCAAAAATATTTACGCTGTTTCTTACTCTTCCTGGGGTTATTCTACTATTTATATTTGTTTCTTTTATAAAATGCACATTTTATTTTGTACAGATATCAAAGCTGGCACAGACTCTTTGGAGTCTTGGGAAGTTGTTGCTCCACCAGCTATTGTGGAGGGCTCAGAGCGAGGCTGGATCACTGCTGTGGGTGACCTACTCTCTCTTTCACTGGAGGTGAGAACTTGTATTTTACAAGAAGTAGTGGGTGACCTACTCTCTCTCTCTCTCTCTCTCTCTCTCTCCTCTCTCTCTCTCTCTCTCTCTCTCTCTCTCTCTCTCACTGGAGGTGAAGTCTTGCGCGCTTTACATTTAGTTGTGGGTAACTCTCTTTATCCCTCCCACTAGGGATGAGGTCCTGCACTTTACATCTTTTTCCTATTTCATTAAGTTGACCTTTCGTAAGTATAATAATAATAATAATAATAATAATAATAATAATAATAATAATAATAATAATAATAATTATAATAATATCTTTATTTACTTCAAGTACATGTACAAGGTATACAGGTCTAGTTGACATCAATGACATACTGCTATATAGAAAGCCCCTTGTTATGCAGAGCACTTCGGGCAAATTAGGTCAGTTTTGTCCCAGGATGCGACCCACACCAGTCCACTAACACCCAGGTACCCATTTTATTGATGGGGAACATAGACAACAGGTGTAAAGAAACGCGCCCAATGTTTCTACCCTGGCTGGGAATCGAACCCAGGCCCTCGCTGTGTGAAGCGAGAGCTTTAGACAGGCTGTTTCAGAATCCTATACACCTCACCTTTGCTGTTTAAACGTAAGTATGTGCAGCACTTTTTAGAAGTAGTTTACTGTATACACCGAATATTATATAACAGTTTATTATATGACAGTTTATAAAATCTGTTAGTCACTTGTATCACTTGGCTCAACTAAATGAACACAGTTTAAAAGCACTGCTGGGTACATTAATCTTCCATTCATGTACATCCAGAAACAAGCTACACCTAAAATTACTGTCAATATGCACGGCCATCCTAGTTTTAACATGCATCGCGTCACTAACACATACTCGTTTTTTCTTCATCTTTGGTTTTCTTCCACGATTACTGGTCGACCGACTATATTTTAACTGATTCTCTCTGGTAACTAATAATTGACTGACCACTTGCTGACTGGTCCCGGCTTGGTATGTACGTATATGCTTGTTCTGGGAGTAGCGCCTTGGTCTCGGCTTGGTATGTACGTTTAAGCTTGTTCTGGGAGTAGCGCCCTGACACAGACAGTAGTCAGTTGATCCATTCAATGGCGGTACCGTTAATGGCCTGAAGACTGGAGCATGGTGATTCCTGCTCTGTGACTGGGTCAGTAGATGATTGCTGTACTGAAATCGAGCTGTTGTCCCCATACCATGATTGGAATGCGGCAGGTCTCTGTAATGAGTATTATCTGTCTTATTATATAAAAGTAATGTAGCATTGGCTATTAACTGTGATGTGTAGGTGGTGTCTTCTTTTCGATGTGCTACGATGTTGATTCCTTTCACAACACTATCAAAATACCCTGTTCCACTGAGGATACTCCCGACATGTGTCTCGACCCGAACACTGGAAATCTCTCTAAACACTACCCCTGACTTAAAGATGGTGGTCGCAGGTGAAAGTGAACTCCGTAAAAAAAAAAACTGGGTTCAAGTTGGGCCGCTCCCGACTTTGGAAACGAGTTTCTTTCTAGAATGACGGCAAGCTCGGTGTTATTTAGCCTTAAATATACACGATTCCTTCCAGAAAACTATGCCTCTCGAAACTATGGTCGCCACAATCACTGTAACTTGATTGCATCAGTCAGTCATACGTCCCGGGGAGTACAGTTAGGTTCCTTGTTTGTCTCACGATTAACCCAAGGAAGATCGAACCTCGTCACTTCTTCCGTGGATTCCATGGAATGATCCTCGCAGATTTAGCGCTTTACATTAATAATAATAATAATAATAATAATAATAATAATAATAATAATAATAATTAATAATAATAATGGTATGACATCTCTTCCCTACCCCCAGGGAATGAGACTCCACCCCGGCTAATATCTGGTTAAATTAGACACATGTGCAACACTTGGGTTTCTTTAATGAGGGAATGTTTCGCCACACAGTGGCTTCATCAGTCCATACAAAGGAGGATGGTGAAGAACTTGAGAAGTTTTAGGTAATCAGTCCCTCAGCCTTGAGTCGATGTGGTCAGTCCATCAATCTTGGAAAAAATACAGCATATGTGCGGAAGTAGCTTATATACCGTAGGCAAGAGAGGTGCAGCAATCGTAGGTGGTATCACATTTGTCCAATGTGGAAGTAGGTCGTGCCCAAGGGTTAGGCAAACGTTTCCTCAATAAAGATACCCAAGTGTTGCACATGTGTCTAACTTACCAACTTGTCGGTTCTCTGAACCATTCATCTACATAATATCTGGGTAACTACACTATACTGACAAAAGTAAAAAAAAAAAAAAGTGGGGTAAGAGAGAGGGGGAGAATATAAAGTGAAGTCTACTCTCCAGTGGCCGAAATTAAGTGTTGTGAATTATCACTGCTAATAATTAATAATTAACAGTACTGTGTTAATACCAGTATTAGCATCATTGTAATTACTACCACTGTTAATTAGCATAGTGAATTAACACAAGCTGGTCTGGCACTGTGGCGAGTGGTTCACAGTATGGAAGGCGCATCAGAGTAAGGAAAGTTAAGAGTGAAGATCTGAAGGTAGGAAATCGCTTCTCTGTTCTTCAGGATGAATGTACTTCAGTGGCCAGTGAAGGTAAGGGTACTACTGCCCCTGCTAATGGAGGTAAGCGCATTCTTGTGGTTGGTGACTCTCAGGTAAGATATATTGACCGTGCTTTTTGTAATAGGAATAAGAAGATGAGAGATAGAGTGTGCTTCCCTGGAGCTGGTGTTGGGGACATTGTCAACAGGCTGGATAATATCATGTCAGGTAATGGGAACAAGCCCATTATCTGTCTCAGTGCTGGTGGAAATGATATTGGGAAGGGTAGGAGAGAAGAGCTGCTAGATAAGTACAGGTCAGCTATAGATTTCATTAAGTCTAAGGGAGGGATCCCAATCATATGTAGCATCTTGCCTAGAAGGGGAGTAGGAAATGAATGGTTGTCTAGGGCAATTGGTGTAAATTGCTGGCTAGACAGATACTGCAAGGAACTTGCAATCCCATTCATTGACAACTGGAACAACTTTTATGGCAAACATGATATGTATGCAAGGGATGGGGTACATCTCTCTGGGGCTGGGGTGGTAGCACTTGCAGACTCGATTGAGAAGGCCATTGGTGAAATGCCTATGATTTTAAACTGATGGAAGATAGAGGTATGGGTGTGTGTGGGAAACAAGCAGGTTGCAACACTAGGGTTGGAAAACAGTAAATGTATAAAAGGCATTCAGCATGAAGTTATAAATAAAGACAATAGATCAGGTCAGCAAACAAAGGGGGACAGCAGAGGGCAGCAAGGGACTAGCTCCCTTAAGGTTTACTATACTAATAGCAGGAGTGTAGAAATAAAATAGATGAGCTAAGATTAATTGCAAGTGCAGGAAACATAGATATTATTGCTATAACAGAGACCTGGCTCAATCTGAAAGATAGAGAGATGCCCTCTGAATGTCACATACAAGGCTATAAATTATTCCACACTGACAGGGTCAACAGGAAAGGTGGTGGAGTAGCGATGTATGTCAGAGACAATTTAAATTGTTGTGTTAGACAAGATATTAAATTAGAAGCGTCAGCCACTGAATCTGTTTGGTTACAGCTTCTCGAGGGCCGAGAAAAACTAATTTTGGGTGTGATTTACAGGGCCCCAAATCTTGATAGGGAGTGCAGTAAACTTCTATGGGACGAAATTCGTAAGGCATCTACATACGAAAATGTTGTGCTAATGGGAGATTTCAACTATAGACAGATTGACTGGAGCAATTTGACAGGAAATTTAGAGTCAGGTGACTTTCTTGATACGATCCAGGATTGTTTTTTAAAACAGTTTGTGACAGAGCCAACTAGGGGAAATAACCTCCTTGACTTGGTTCTTGCCAGTAGGGAAACACTAATTAATAATCTTGAGGTTAATGATGAGCTTGGGGAAAGTGATCACAAATCACTCAGTTTTAATATATCATGGAATTCCCCTAATAATGGCAATCAAGTCTCCGTCCCTGACTTTCGCTTGGCTGATTTCATAGGACTGAAAAATTACTTAGGTGGGCTGAACTGGAATGACCTGACTAAGGGTCAGGTAGGTGGTGATGGTTGCCGATATGATGCTTTCCAGGGCATAGTTCTAGCTGCTCAGTCAAATTATGTTCCAAATAGGGAAATCAGATCAAACAAAAATGATCCTAAATGGATGAACAATAGATTAAAATATCTGATTGGTCAAAAGAGAGGCATATATAGGCAAATCAAAAGAGGAGAGGGGCAATTGAGAAATCGATATATTCAGTTAAAGAGAGAAATAAAAAAGGGAATTAGAAAAGCAAAAAGAGATTATGAGGTTAAAGTTGCAAGAGAATCGAAGACTAACCCAAAAGGATTCTTTCAGGTATACAGAAGTAAGATCAGGGACAAGATAGGCCCACTCAAAAGTTCCTCGGGTCAGCTCACTGACAGTGATAAGGAAATGTGTAGAATTTTTAACACATACTTCCTCTCAGTTTTTACACAGGAGGATACCAGCGATATTCCAGTAATGATAAATTATGTAGAACAGGACGATAATAAACTGTGCACTATTAGGGTCACAAGTGACATGGTCCTTAGGCAAATAGATAAATTAAAACCTAACAAATCCCCAGGCCCTGATGAACTGTATGCAAGGGTTCTAAAGGAATGTAAAGAGGAGCTTAGCACACCTTTGGCTAATCTTTTCAACATATCACTACAAACTGGCATGGTGCCAGATAAGTGGAAAATGGCAAATGTGATACCTATTTTCAAAACAGGTGACAGGTCCTTAGCTTCGAAACTATAGACCAATAAGCCTGACCTCCATAGTGGGAAAATTTATGGAATCAAAAATTTGGGCCGAGGCATTTTCGTAGCCACCTTGAAAAGCATAAATTAATCAACGAATCTCAGCATGGTTTTACAAAGGGGCGTTCCTGCCTTACGAATTTATTAACTTTTTTTCACTAAGGTATTTGAGGAGGTAGATCATGGTAATGAATATGATATTGTGTATATGGACTTCAGTAAGGCTTTTGACAGGGTCCCACATCAGAGACTGTTGAGGAAAATTAAAGCACATGGAATAGGAGGAGAAATTTTTTCCTGGATAGAGGCATGGTTGACAAATAGGCAGCAGAGAGTTTGCATAAATGGGGAGAAATCAGAGTGGGGAAGTGTCACGAGCGGTGTTCCACAGGGGTCAGTGTTGGGCCCCCCTGCTGTTCACAATCTACATAAACGACATAGATGAGGGCATAAAGAGCGACATCGGCAAGTTTGCCGATGACACCAAATAGGCCGTCGAATTCATTCTGACGAGGACATTCGAGCACTCCAGGAAGATTTGAATAGACTGATGCAGTGGTCGGAGAAGTGGCAGATGCAGTTTAATATAGACAAATGCAAAGTTCTAAATGTTGGACAGGACAATAACCATGCCACATATAAACTAAATAATGTAGATCTTAATATTACGGATTGCGAAAAAGATTTAGGAGTTCTGGTTAGCAGTAATCTGAAACCAAGACAACAGTGCATAAGTGTTCGCAATAAAGCTAATAGAATCCTTGGCTTCATATCAAGAAGCATAAATAATAGGAGTTCCTCAGGTTGTTCTTCAACTCTATACATCCTTGGTTAGGGGCCCCATTTAGATTATGCTGCACAGTTTTGGTCACCGTATTACAGAATGGATATAAATTCTCTGGAAAATGTACAAAGGAGGATGACAAAGTTGATCCCATGTATCAGAAACCTTCCCTATGAGGATAGACTAAGGGCCCCGAAACTGCACTCTCTAGAAAGACGTAGAATTAGGGGGGATATGATTTGAGGTGTATAAATGGAAGACAGGAATAAATAAAGGGGATGTAAATAGTGTGCTGAAAATATCGAGCCTAGACAGGACTCGCAGCAATGGTTTTAAGTTGGAAAAATTCAGATTCAGGAAGGATATAGGAAAGTACTGGTTTGGTAATAGAGTTGTGGATGAGTGGAACAAACTCCCAAGTACCGTTATAGAGGCCAGAACGTTGTGTAGCTTTAAAAATAGGTTGGATAAATACATGAGTAGATGTGGGTGGGTGTGAGTTAGACCTGATAGCTTGTGCTACCAGGTCGGTTGCCGTGTTCCTCCCTTAAGTCAATGTGACCTGACCTGACTAGGTTGGGTGCATTGGCTTAAGCCGGTAGGAGACTTGGACCTGCCTCGCATGGGCCAGTAGGCCTTCTGCAGTGTTCCTTCGTTCTTATGTTCTTATGTTCTTACTTAGGTACCCTCATTCTTAATGTACGAGACTTCCAAAGTTGAGAATGTGATGTATCTTTACATTATTGTATACAAAGTCTTGACACTAAATATATTTTGGAAATATCTTGCATAGACTGTATGACAAGTATTCAAAGTGTTTACTGCTATTTTTCAGAATCTGGATTCGCTAATCCGCATGCCAAGCGGATGCGGAGAACAGAATATGCTTAAGTTTGCCCCCAATATCTTCATCCTCCAGTACTTAAAAGCAACTAAACAAGACAACCCAGAGGTCACCAAAAAACTTGCAGACTACATGAATACAGGTCAGTGTAACGTGTAACCGGGTTCGCGAGTTTTTTTTTTTTTTACCTTAGCAGCCAAGCCCTGAGGTCAGCTTTCTGGATGAGCACATTAACAGGCAATCTGTTGTTCCTCTTCCAGCAGAGGTATTGATTTTGAGGCGATTTTTTTTTTTTTTTGTCAATCGGAAATATGCTATATTAACCTAAGGTCACTTACGTCGCTCACACTACAAGAGCACATCAATCATTGAAACCAATTGGTTTACTCTGATCGAATATGCTTGCACATGCCTGCTGGATGTTCAAGCACCTAACACTCAAAACTTTCTTTACTCCCTCCCTCCTACCATTCTTGGGAGGACCCCCCTTTCCCATTCTTTTATATACCCCAATTTTATACACTATCCTAATCCTCTCTAAATGCCTAAATCATCTCAAGAGCCTCACCTCACCCCTCTAGAGTTATATACTTTCGGTGACTTCACACCATTTTCTAATTCCTACGCTCCAAATTCTCTGCGTAATTCTCACAGCAAACATTACTAACAAACATAACAGTGTCACTACCTCTAGCCACCTCGCTACAACGTTCATAACATTATATTTATTGATTTATTAAATTTTTTTTAACGTCGGCCGTCTCTCGGTGAGAGACGGCCGACGGCTGAATGTTAATACTTCACCACCAGTCAACGATACTTTAATCCCTAATGTAGTGTTGAAGTACACTAAATGTGTATATACTGAAATAAGTTTTCCTTCGTGTATATACACTTCTGTTCTGAGTGCATACATATCATGAGATATATTCCTTAAGGAGTACATAAAAAATATTATATTCATGCAAATTATTTGAATTTATTTTCCGTCGATATTTTTATCCCAGGAGCTTGAATAAAAGTACTTAAAAATGGACTTTTGTTTACATTTTCATTTGTTTCTTAAGCACTGTATGATCATTTTGTCTCCCTAACTATGCATTTTCCTGCTTCTCAGGTTATCAGCGTCAACTCCTGTACCGTCGTAATGATGGCTCCTTTAGTGCCTTTGGGAAAGCTGATGACTCTGGCTCAACTTGGCTCACTGCGTTTGTCCTTAAGTCTTTTGCTCAGGCCAAGTCTTTTATATTGGTAAATCTATATCTTTATTGCATACACTACTCACTCACATTTCCCACTTTATGCTAATTTGTCTTTACATGAGCCAGAATTATTTATTTTTGCCGTGGTTAAAAGACAGTGGAAATTCTCTCGATCAGTTAAACTCTTGTAAAAATTCCACCATATGTTACATTATAATAATGTAATGTATGGTTACTTTTTCTCTCTCGATTTACAATTTGAGTTTTATTTAATCGTTAATTTAGAAGTATTAAATATTGTTCAAGTCAGTTGCAGTTGATAAGATTTAAAGCTAATAAATTAACTATTTAGCTTTTCTTATTTAGCTTTTTCCTATTAGGATAGAATGAGAGCCCTAAATCTACACTCTCCAGAAAGACGTAGAATTAGGGAGGATATGATTGAGGTGTATAAATGGAAAACAGGAATAAATAAAGGGATGTAAATAACGTGCTAAAAATATCTAACCAAGACAGGATTCGCAGCAGTGGTTTCAAGTTGGAAAAATTTAGATTCAGAAAGGATATAGGAAAGCACTGATTTGGTAATCGAGTTGAGGATGAGTGGAACAAACTCCTGAGTAGCACCTTAATGGCGCTAAAACGTTGAGTAGATTTAAAAATAGGTTAGACAAATACTTGAGCGGGTTTGAGTTAGACCTGAGTAGTTTGTGCTAATAGGTCTGATGCAGTGCTCCTTCCTTTTTAAGTTGATGTGACTTAGACCTTCCTAGCATGGGCCAGTAGGCCTGCTGGAGTGCTCCTTCTTATGTTCTTATATGTGTTTATCATGATTATGAAATATAACTGACTATAACTGATGTGTATTGTTGCCAGTAAGAGTTAAACTAATTATATTTTGCACAAATATTCCAGATTGATGAGGAAAGTCTCACAAAAACCCAGTCTTGGCTGCTTGGATCACAAAATTCAACTGGGTGCTTCTATTCAATAGGAAAAGTCTTCAATAAAGGCATGAAGGTAGGTCAGGCTGGATCCGAATAGCTAATTGCCGACGATAGTGAAGGAAAGGTATACAGTGCTGAACAAGTTTTCATGGCACAACGTTTCTCTGTTTAGAACATTAAACAGAAAGATTATTTTAGGGAAGAGCTGGTTCTGTAACCTGTCTGTTCTTCAGGATAAATAAAATTAATCTGAACTCAAATATTTTATGATGCATGGGCTCTGTAGGATTGATTAAAATTATATGCATTGAAAACGTGAAATTGTTACTGACATGTGATGTGTAGTTGAAAATTAGACACATGTGCAACATCTGAGTATCTTTATTATAGACGTTTCGCAATCCAGTGGCTTTATCAATACAAATTCAAGGACATAATTGGAAGACAGTAGAACTATATACAAAAGATGAGGTAATCAGTCTCTCGGCTTTGGAGTTGGTATGAAGAGCACTGTAGTCGTGAACAATCTGAAGTACGGCCAATAAGGCTGGCGCTTATATACTGGCGTCAGGTGGTAAGGGACGGGTAGCAGACGAAGGCTTTGTCACTGGTAGACGGGATTCCCCAGTGGAAGTAGGTCATACAAAAGGGACGGGTTAGTAGTGAAGAAGGTTGTGGAGATGTCCTCTGAACCAAGGTTCCATGACGTATAGCTGTCCATAGATGGTCTTAGTAGTTCGTATGTGAAAATTTTTGGGAGTTGCACATAGCAACCAACTCTCAAAATAACGATCCTCGTTTTCTAATGCATACCTGGAGTTTACCTGGAGAGAGTTCCGGGGGTCAACGCCCCCGCGGCCCGGTCTATGACCAGGCCTCCTGGTGGATCAGAGCCTGATCTACCAGGCTGTTGCTGCTAGCTGCACGCAAACCAACGTACGAGCCACAGCCCGGCTGATCCGGAACTGACTTTAGGTGCTTGTCCAGTGCCAGCTTGAAGACTGCCAGGGGTCTGTTGGTAATCCCCCTTATGTGTGCTGGGAGGCAGTTGAACAGTCTCGGGGCCCTGACACTTATTGTATGGTCTCTTAACGTGCTAGTGACACCCCTGCTTTTCATTGGGGGGATGGTGCATCGTCGCTGCCAAGTCTTTTGCTTTCGTAGTGAGTGATTTTCGTGTGCAAGTTCGGTACTAGTCCCTCTAGGATTTTCCAGGTGTATATAATCATGTAATCTCTCCCTCCTGCGTTCCAGGGAATACAGGTTTAGGAACCTCAAGCGCTCCCAATAATTGAGGTGTTTTATCTCCGTTATGCGTGCCGTGAAAGTTCTCTGTACATTTTCTAGGTCGGCAATTTCACCTGCCTTGAAAGGTGCTGTTAGTGTGCAGCAATATTCCAGCCTAGATAGAACAAGTGACCTGAAGAGTGTCATCATGGGCTTGGCCTCCCTAGTTTTTGAAGGTTCTCATTATCCATCCTGTCATTTTTCTAGCAGATGCGATTGATACAATGTTATGGTCCTTGAAGGTGAGATCCTCCGACATGATCACTCCCAGGTCTTTGACGTTGGTGTTTCGCTCTATTTTGTGGCCAGAATTTGTTTTGTACTCTGATGAAGATTTAATTTCCTCATGTTTACCATATCTGAGTAATTGAAATTTCTCATTGTTGAACTTCATATTGTTTTCTGCAGCCCACTGAAAGATTTGGTTGATGTCCGCCTGGAGCTTTGCAGTGTCTGCAATGGAAGACACTGTCATGCAGATTCGGGTGTCATCTGCAAAGGAAGACACGGTGCTGTGGCTGACATCCTTGTCTATGTCGGATATGAGGATGAGGAACAAGATGGGAGCGAGTACTGTGCCTTGTGGAACAAAGGTTTTCACCGTAGCTGCCTCGGACTTTACTCTGTTGACGACTACTCTCTGTGTTCTGTTAGTGAGGAAATTATAGATCCATCGACCGACTTTTCCTGTTATTCCTTTAGCACGCATTTTGTGCGCTATTACGCCATGGTCACACTTGTCGAAGGCTTTTGCAAAGTCTGTATATATTACATCTGCATTCTTTTTGTCTTCTAGTGCATTTTAGGACCTTGTCGTAGTGATCCAGTAGTTGAGACAGACAGGAGCGACCTGTTCTAAACCCATGTTGCCCTGGGTTGTGTAACTGATGGGTTTCTAGATGGGTGGTGATCTTGCTTCTTAGGACCCTTTCAAAGATTTTTATGATATGGATGTTAGTGCTATTGGTCTGTAGTTCTTTGCTGTTGCTTTACTGCCCCCTTTGTGGAGTGGGGCTATGTCTGTTGTTTTTAGTAACTGTGGGACGACCCCGTGTCCATGCTCCCTCTCCATAGGATGGAAAAGGCTCGTGATAGGGGCTTCTTGCAGTTCTTGATGAACACAGAGTTCCATGAGTCTGGCCCTGGGGCAGAGTGCATGGGCATGTCATTTATCGCCTGTTCGAAGTCATTTGGCGTCAGGATAACATCGGATAGGCTTGTGTTAATCAAATTTTGTGGCTCTCTCATAAAAAATTCATTTTGATCTTCGACTCTCAGTCTGGTTAGCGGCTTGCTAAAAACTGAGTCATATTGGGACTTGAGTAGCTCACTCATTTCCTTGCTGTCATCTGTGTAGGACCCATCTTGTTTAAGTAGGGGCCCAATACTGGACGTTGTTCTCGATTTTGATTTGGCATAGGAGAAGAAATACTTAGGGTTTCTTTCGATTTCATTTATGGCTTTTAGTTCTTCCCGCGATTCCTGACTCCTAAAGGATTCTTTTAGCTTAAGTTCGATGCTTGCTATTTCTCTGACCAGTGTCTCCCTACGCATTTCAGATATATTGACCTCTTTTAGCCGCTCTGTTATTCTTTTCCGTCGCCTGTAAAGGGAGCGCCTGTCTCTTTCTGTTTTACATCTACTCCTCCTTTTTCTTAGAGGAATAAGCCTTGTGCATACATCGAGTGCCACCGAGTTAATCTGTTCTAGGCATAAGTTGGGGTCTGTGTTGCTTAGTATATCTTTCCCAGCTTATATCGGTTAGGACTTGGTTTACTTGGTCCCACTTTATGTTTTTGTTATTGAAGTTGAATTTGGTGAATGCTCCCTCGTGACTAATCTCATTATGTCGGTCTGGGGCTCCGCGCATACATGACTGAACCTCAATTATGTTGTGATCTGAGTATATTGTTTTTGATATGGTGACATTTCTTATCAGATCATCATTGTTAGTGAAGATGAGGTCTAGTGTATTCTCCAGTCTAGTAGGTTCTATTATTTGCTGGTTTAAATTGAATTTTGTGCAGAGATTTAAAAGCTCGTGTGAGTGTGAGTTTTCATCAGAGCTGCCTCCTGGTGTTATTACTGCAACAATATTATTTGCTATATTCCTCCATTTTAGGTGCCTTAAGTTGAAATGCCCCAGGAGCAAGATGTTGGGTGCAGGAGCTGGAAGGTTTTCCAGACAGTGGTAAATTTTTAACAGCTGTTCCTGGAATTGCTGGGATGTTGCATCCGGAGGCTTGTAGACTACCACAATGACTAGGTTTTGGTTCTCGACCTTTACTGCTAAAACTTCCACTACATCATTTGAGGCATTTAGCAGTTCTGTGCAAACAAGTGACTCTGCAATGTACAGGCCCAAACCCCCCCGTTTTGCCTGTTCACTCTGTCACATCTGTATAGGTTGTAACCTGGGATCCATATTTCGTTGTCCAAGTGATCCTTTATGTGGGTCTCAGTGAAAGCCGCGAACATTGCCTTTGCCTCTGCAAGCAGTCCACGGATGAAAGGTATTTTGTTGTTTGTTGCTGGCTTTAGACCCTGTATATTTGCAAAGAAGAATGTTATCGGACTGGTGGTATTGTTGGTACTGGGGGGGGATTTTTTTTCCGGCATTAGTATCTGTATCTGTTGGTTTGGAGTGGAGGCCATCGACTGTGGTTCCACTCCAGGAATGACTGGATTTGGTGTACGATTTCTGCCATTTCCTGCCAGTTTTTTTTCCTTCCTGGCACTAAAAAACCTCTCCCTCTTGAGTGGCTGTGGCTACCCAGGTATTCCATGGCCTGGATGTTTTGTATCTTTTTGTCCCCTTTAGATGGTATGCCTGGCAATTTAAGTTATAGCACAGTCTTTCCTGTACTGAAGAGGTACACAGTTCAGGTGTGAAAAAGCTTACAGGAAGGGAGTTTGCATTTTCCTGTTGTCATATGGGCATGGCATTTTCTAGGGTGGTCATAGTTGCACGTCCCATCTGTTTTTCCAGATTTCCCATGCCAGCAGATACCGAGTGCATAGTATGTGCACAGGCTTGGTTTCCGTTTGCCTTGGGTTTCTGTGACTGTATTCCCTGTTGGTGCATGTTTCCCTGTCTTACTTCTATCCTCCCTAGCACCAACAATGGAGCTCCCACCAGTTGTTTTTGGTAATATATCCTCACTATTGCTAGTGGAGTCCTCTTGTTTGCTATTTCCTGCGGTATTTCTAGTTTGCAATATTGGTTTTATCTTATCTTTGACTACACTTGTTTCCCTACTATGGCTCCTGTCCCCTATGAGGTCATTTATATGTATTCCTTCCTGCGTATAATTCCGACTACCTGGACAAAATCTCCAGCTTCACCATTACTGTCTCCCAGGACAGCATCTCCAGCTTCCCCATTACTGTCTCCCAGGACAGCATCTCCAGCTTCACCATTACTGTCTCCCAGGACAGCACCTCCAGCTTCACCATTACTGTCTCCCAGGACAGCACCTCCAGCTTCACCATTACTGTCTCCCAGGACAGCACTATCAGCCCCCCATTTACTGGCTACCAGGACATCATCTCCAGCCTTACAGTTTCTGACTACATGGCCAGTATCAAGGGCAGTACCATTCAGCCCAGACTTTTTATGTTCCCATCTGTTGTAGAAAGCTTCCAGGTTTTCTATGAAAGCAGCTTTGATGTTGACCTCTTTTAATACCCTTGTGATTTTAGTCCACAGATTTATCTCATTTGGGCATACCCAAAAACACTTCCCTGTTTTAATACTGCTTGTAGCTAGTTCTTGGATATCTGCACAAGG